GCCGAGTAGCCCAAATAGAAAGTACGCGATTTTAAGACTTGATTATGTAATTATTGCATACAATAATTATTTCCACTAATAATTTAAAATAATGAAACACGACCAATATTTAAAGATTATTTTTAAAAAGCCAAACAAATGATATCAAGCAAAAAACCAAAGAGATAGAATAAAAGTGTCCGTGATTTTCCAAGTTCTGCTTCTATTGTAACGAATCAGGAGGCAGTAGAGCGTTTCAATAGCATCATATTCGATATTTTATATTGTTTTTAAATACTCTTTTTTTGCCAAATGGTTACGCCTTTGTTGTTGTGTAAAGTTTTGAGATATTTAAAATAATTTTAATTATTAATACAAAGATCGAACACTCAGAAAAAATTCCTTCGATCCGGCCGGATTCGAACCAACTTCTTCCATCTTACCGTGCTAGACGCTATACCAACAAAGCAACGGTACGAACCAGCGAATCTAACCAATTTTTGTATGTGCTTGGGTCGTGTCTTTGGTTTTTCAACGACTTTTTAGTCGTCGCGCCATCTATGAGAAATCTATGAAAGATTTATAGTTAGTACCTTTACAGCTACCAGTCCTGGCGAGAGATGTCGCTATTCGCTATGTTTTAATTTTTATAACAAACTAGTGGAGTAATTTCACAAAAAATAATTGAATATCAATTCAATAAAAATTTACAAAAACAGTTTTAATTTTAATATTTTTACAAATACAGTAACGTTATTCTGGCGAGGAACACAGTGGTAGCACTTAAACGTAGGTTTAAGGAGACTCTTTTAATTATTACCAAAAATACGACGTTCTTTTTTTTGAAACTAATTACATTTTTTAGGTTAGTAGCGAGTACCGTAGACATTAGAATTTTGGTTGAGAGCTAAAACGACCGTCTTTGTGACGTGGTCATTGACGTACCTTGGTAGGTACTCGGACGTGGTCTATGAAATTATAATTGACAGAATAAGTAGATACAGGAGTAGAAAAAGCACTTGTGACGTCTGATCGCATGTGGCAATTACCTACAATTATTTTCTCGGCAATCGTCGTCTCGACTGTCGTCGGATTTCTGACTTTGCCCTTTGCATGTGGTGCAGACCGGACGCATTCTATTGACACTGACCTCCCTGAAAAGAACGAGCAAGAAACTCTAGGGATTGCTCTTTTCAAATAAATTTAACTGCTATGGAATACACTTTGAATCACATTTGTGTGGAATCTAGACTCTTGTTGTCTATTATACTTCTTTGTCTAACACATTCTCTTTAATTTTGCAATATGATTTTTCAATTCAAATACTTTTAATGTAAGTTTTAAACTTAGGAAATGGTAAACTGAATATATGCTCCGGAATCTTATCGTAAAAACGTATACAGTTCCCCATAAAAGAATCGTATACCTTAGTTAAAAGAAATCCTGGTACCATGAGTTTAGGCTTAGTTCTAATATTAATATTATGGATATCTTTCTTAATAAAAGAGTATCATAGCACCGACTAGTACCGTCGACGGACGTAACATTCTATACGTATTGGGAATGACCACAGACATATATGTATATGTGTTGTTGACCAATGATATTTCCGTACCTGAGAAGCATTACACTGTAAGCGCCATTTTTGTAATTTTACGCGGGAAGCGATTTTTTGTTGAAAAGCAGTTTGTACGCCAAATGTTATTAAAACTGAATTAGTTTTATTTCAAGCCATTCTAAATGTTGTACATGTTGCATTTCGACACAAAATCGCGTCCCCTTTAAAATTACAAAAATAGCACTTACAGTGTAATGCTTCTCAGGTACGGATTTATCCATAGTTGGGGAATTAACGTAAAGCCATTCTTTTTGCTTTGACCCAGGGTCCTTCCGTTTACTATTTATAATTATTATATTACTAAAAAGAAAAAGAAAATAAATGCAGTGGAGCTGTTGAAATTATTGATGTTATGTATGTACTTTTCCTTGCGTAAAGGCAAAGATCTTTAGACCATGCAGCCTAGTCTTTTTTTTATTTATACGTGGTAACCATGGTTACTATTTTATTAGAAAAAAAAAATTGTTTCAGAATGTGATTGAGTTCGAAAGATTAAGAGCTCTCATGCCATTGACTTACAATTATATGGACGTCGGGTCCGCGCTAAAAAGTGTCCGCACTTGTAAGGCGCTAAAATCGTATACAGAGCGCGACACTCCGCTTTAGTCTTCATTTGTTCGACTGACAGCGCGATACTGCGATGACATTACAATTTAAATTTCGAATAGGTTGACTTGGGACATTTTTTCGTGGTTTTTGTATTAGACCCGTCGTCCATTTAAATGTAAGTCAATTCTCATGCCAAAAATGTTTTGACGTTGGCTCCGCCCAAATTTGTGAAACAAATATATGCCAGAGGTTCGCGTGACATGCGACAGGAGATGTTGAATTTTGCGCATTAAAAATACCAAATTCGTTTTAGCGGAATAACTCTAAAACTAAAGGGATTAAAAAAAATCCGTAGTGACAGTTGTCGATCATGCATAAATATAATTAATTATCATTGACTTACAAATATTTAAACGTAGTGACATGTAAAGGAATATGAAAAAGCTAAAACGTTGAATTTAAATTGTAATGTCATCGCAGTACTGACTAATTTTGCTTGCTTCGATGTCAGTCGAATAAACGAAGACTAAAGCGTGAATGACGCTCTGTATACGATTTTAACGCCCTATAAGTTCGGACACTTTTTAGCGCGGACCCGACGTCCATATAATTGTACGTCAATGTTAATTATCTAACGAGCGTTACGAATTTTAAACGAGGTGGCGGACAGAATTGATTTGTTTTCATGTACACTGTGTGAATTCACAAGAATGACTCTTTTTATTGTTTGTTATGTTCAAATATAATATAATTTGTAAATATAGGATAATTTATAGAATTTATGGTTAGCACCTACATGTATATATACATATTACATTTTTCTTAGTTAGTAGTATATAAGTCACTTGAGTTGTACTCTATCACATTGGCTATGCATAGCTGTAAGGGTAGATGTATAGTTATAAATAAATAAATAAAAAATAAATAAATAAATAAATAAAAATTTTTGTCCTAATAACCTGTAGCATTTCGAGGATGAATCGAAAAAATGTGAAAATTAGAAGTCGTTTCGTGATTTTTATCTATCGAGGAAACTTTATTGTTTTATGTTTCTGATTAATGTCTATGCTTGAGTATATCGTGTAGTTACTCATACAATATTTTATTTTTAACTTTAAAGTGGATATACCCCTCTAAAATCAAATCGAAGATTAGGAATTTTTCCTCTGCTCCCCTCTTAATAACCGGATTTTAGCTTTTTTTTTTAGTTTTAATTCAATTTTACTCGTATGAAAAAAAGAACGCCTCTTTTAGTTTGTATTTAGAAAAATTCCATCGATCCATCTGAACTAAGGAACTTTTCTTTGTTGTTATTTAGACCTTTGTAACAGTAATAATAATAGCAAACTAGTGGATTATTGCCACAACAAAAATAGATGAAAATTATGGTAGTCAATAAAAATACATCATTATATTAAATAACAATTAATGTTGCAATAAAGTACGTAGTTCTGAAATCAATGGTTATTATTATAAATGAGAAATCACTTGACATGATAATTTGTGTTCGAGTGCATTCGGAAATTTGAAGATTGCCGATGATTGCCGAGAGATATTTTTTACGTCATATTTTATTTAATTTTCGATATTATTTAAGGGCAACAAACAGTCGTAACACATTTAGGTGATACTAAATAAAACGAATATACCTGGACGTCCACAAACAAAACAATAATTTGGCAAATTTAAAATAGTTTGTCAAAATTTGCTAAATCATAAAGTAACATCTATCGATTAGAGGCTCTTGATTCGGAGCCAAGATTCTTGAATGCAGAGCCGATAGACTTATTGGCGACGATAACCTCAATCTAAACCTTATAGTTCAAACTTCAAAGTTGCCTGTCTGTCGTTTTTCGACAGAATATATTTCGATGAGTGTACCCATGAACGCCATAAGCTCATCTCGCCCGCCTCCATTTACCATCGGATACCCAGACTTACACTGCGGGATATTATCTCTACATGGTCCAAATTCCCTTCAGGCATACTAAGCGCTTTTCTACATTTTTATTATGCGCACAGCCAGGTTTGGGATTCTTTGCCCACAACTGTGTTTCCGAGCAAATACAACCCGATCCTTAAGGTGCGACTGAATAGACATCTTGGGCGATTTTGTTTCATCGTAAACTTTATATCCGCTCCAGTGCAATGTAGTCGTCAAAAGCAAGTCCATTTACTTAAAAAAACATCGTAAGCATTACAATGTGCTGCCGCAAATAGATATAACAAGACGACTTCTCGTATTTTCAATGATTGGTTCAATTAAGATGTGTTGTTGATTCCGTGATTGATGGCCTTTTTTTTATTATATTGTATTTTTTTATATTAGTTTTGTAAGTAGCAAACAAGCACGGCCCGCCTAACGGAAAGCTGTCACTGTCGCCTATGAACGCCTGCAACACCAGGGGCGATACGAGCGCGTTGCCAACCCTTTAGGAACCTTTTCAAACCCCTTTTGAAGGACTCCATGCTGTGTTCCTGCGGGAAAACCCCGACAGGGAGTTCAGTCCACCCCTAATTGTACGTGGGAGAAAGTTCCTCTGAAGCCTTACAGTACGAGATCGACTCGGTTCTAGAGTGTGAGGATTCCCTGCCGGTGGCGAGGGGTGCGGTGATAAAATGTTGCTGTTGGCATCATGTCAATTAGTTCTTCAGAACATTGTCCTTTACATGCGATAGAACAGGCATATAGAGGCAATGTCTTCAAAGACAGTGGTTCAATATAGTCTATAAGTACAAGATCGTCAACAATTCTTATAGAAAGTGTTCGAAACGCGTCAAACGGCCCAAGTTGGCGTCCGGGAGCTCCCACCCAAAGATGGCAGCAGTTTTTCAGTGCATTTTTCTTTTTCAGGTACGATTGTCACGTTTTACGCGGTCATGATGGCTGGAGGTGCCCTGTTTATGCCCTGTGGTATTGACTCCTACGTCGCCCTAATTCAGAGCCTCAATTTGCCGGACGCACTTGTAATAATTATCAAGTTCTTTCTAGGTTTACCGTTCTCCTATCATTACTTCATAGGTATACGTTATGTGCTTTTCAATATGGCCAAATTCATGGTTTTAAAAGAAGCATATCAATCTGCTTACATAGCGTTAGTGACGTCAGTTGCCACATCGGCGGCGTTCGCTGTGCTTTTCTAAATTAACGCCTGGCAGTTATTAACCTTGCCTTGTGTACATTTAATTCCGCTGTATAGAATAAATGTTAAGCAAAAGCAAGGTTCGAACATATTCGGGTGTCGTCTCATTAAAGAAGGACATTCACCGAACGCCACATGCTGAATTTAAAACATTAAGAAATTTTGTGATATCTGAAGTGCTCTTCAGATATCACAAAATTTCCGCTTCCGACCATCAAAAATTATAGTACAATGATTATTATGGCTGTAATTTCATGCCGAAAAAACTGGCTATTTTGTTCGGTGTATGAATGTTCATATATTTTTTTTTCTTTTGTAAAATCTACAGATATCTTCAATTAGATTTTCAGAATCATAATTCTATGGTACATGTACTTCTTTTTATAATTATGCATTGTTATTATTGTATAATAATATATTTGTAGGAATATTTGCAATTTTACAATTAAATATATGCATAGACGGAAATAAATATCTTCCAAATTAATATGGTTGTTTTTACTCTATGAATTTTGATACTTTGATTGGGTTTTTAAAGCTTGCCATTCTGGTTCACACTTACTTCATATAAACAGTATTTTTTCCATATATTTTGTGGCATCTAACAATACATATCGAATAACAAGTTATATGCATGTTAGGATTACTTATTCTAAATTTTCTTTTTTTTAACATATCTATAAAGACCAAATTGCAAAAATGCGAATTTTTGTCAGCGGCACAAAATAAATTTTTAATTGGAGAATTTTATTTTATTTACTTTTAAAATTCGTTCAAAAACCTAGTGTTTATCTAAAATCTGAATGCGATCGAGGTGTCTTTTGTAAGTGATACCGAACCCCATTTAAAAAAACGGTTAAATATTTTATAAAGTTAGAACACTTTCGGTTATTTAATTTAAACGTTATATTAACAATGCGAAGTCACGATCGATGTGTGCAATGAAGTCCTTAACGTCTTAGTAATGTTAAAGTGTTAATCCCAGATACTCGTACATATCGATTGAGAAGTATAAGCTTCCACTTACCTTTCTACTGCTTGAAGACACTCCCAGGTAGTATGCTGAACTAATATATTAACCGTTATATTTTACTACATAGATAAGGCACAATTCTTGATATTTTACTACGTTAAAGAATATTTGGGACGGCGCGACACCGCGCGATTCTAAGCCGCCTGTGTGGTGAGCTAGTGATGTGCGCACACAGAATTAACTCGCGTAAATTGAACTTATTGTTCTTACTCTCTACTCACTTTGCTTACAAACTCTTTTAGAGTTCTATGAAAAAGTTTTCCTTAGTATTTCTCAATAAACTGAATAAGAAATATTGATACAAAGATAGAACTACGTCGAAAGAGGATCCGGCTGGATCAGCGGAATTTTTGCCTAATGTAGGCTATGTTTAAACAATTTGTTCACCACACGAAGCGTTTAACGTAACTTATTCAATGATATAATAATTACAACAATTGCAATTTACAACATTAATCATTACAATTACTGTGTGACACGGGACCAAGGTCAGCACACACAGTATAGAGCCTACGCTCATAGCATTGATTTTCATCTTGTCCCCGATGGTGAGGACAACAGGTATATGAAACACGCGCACAAAACATAAGCCAAAATTGTCCATTAATGCGAATTTTACTATTGATTAGGCACAAAAATCATAATTACTAGAAATAATTATGTGACAATCTATGATTATAGCTTCATTTTATAACAAAAAAGTCTAGAAATTGTAATTTAAACTTGAATTGCCCGATTTTGCGCTTCAAGACAAAGAAAAGAGATTTCGACGAGGTTTTCAAATTCAGCCGACGCATACTTATAAGTCCAACTTGATTGAAGGTATTATTCTTTGTATTTGTTCGATTTTTGTGTCAATAAAAACAAACTAGTGGAACATATTCACAAAAAAATATATAAAAAAATAACTATTTTTTTTCGTTGCAAGGTTGCCATTTACTTTTGAAGGAAAAGTGTTTTCGTAAAATAATACAATGCAGTCAGTATTATCAGGAAATTGGGAGAAAAAATAATACATCACAAAGTGTTTGATACATTTTGCTTATAGCGTTGGGAAGCAATATTTTATTATTTTTAAAATAATTATGCTAATTTAAGAGTATATTCAAATGGCGAACAAAAACACAGACATGACAGTGACACTCGTTTGTTATTTTTATAGAAAAACGTAAGAGAATAAACGATTACGACATTCTTGCATAGATGTGTGACGGAAAATTGATTATGGTAAATAATAAAATAACTATCAACAAGGACTTCACGGTGAGTCATTAATCATTCACTAAACCATTAATTTCGTAAATAAACTTAAAAGAAATGAACTCAATGCGGGATACGTTCAAAAAAATGAACAAATCTTTGTTACGTCATTTTAGGTGCTGCACACCGTATGCTGCACACGCATGCGCGCGCACGAGAACCTCGCCCCTTTAGCCGTATCCCTCAATGGGTGACGTCACAACGGCAAAGCGAAGGTAAACTACCCCATTTAACATTAAAGAAATCATGTGCCGATGCCGTTTACTAATGCCAAACTTTATTCTGAATGTAGCTCACTCGGTCATTATGAATAGTGCACAAGATTTATGTAGGTTATAAAGGACTTTTGCAACCTCAAATTCCCGTTTCGCAGGATTATCGATCTGAATTCAGGAATGCAATGCGGATGGGTAAGCGTGGAGGCCGGTACGCATGCCACGTTCATTGCAGAGAAGTACATACACGCACATATCCTTAAACACAAACAGAACGTACGATCTATTTCGAATGTCGCAGAATGGAATAAAAATGTCTGTATAAATGTTATTAATAAGCTATTTTTATTTTTCATATTTAAATACATCGCACATATTTGTTTTTTTTTCGAACCAGCCGTCGACGCTTCGAGCTGAACTTCGGTTTGTTTGCTCATTTTTAATTCTAGAAAATGAATAGGTAAATGAAATAAATAAAATTTATCTGCGACACTTGACTGTTTTTTTTTTTCACAATATAGTAAAGTACAAATGATGGACTTATTACCACAAGGCATTCTTTAAAGGAGCTTTACCGTATAGCCAGATGGTAAAAAGTAGTTCGTCCAGGGGAATACTACTGCGTTCTGGTTTTGAAGGATAATTGTGCAGGTGAAAAACTTATGATCAGGGCGACGGCCGCAGTGGGAGTGTCTCTCATGTTCTGGCCCTGCAACTGTTGTGTACAGGCGTGTCTCTTTTCACTACTTATTCGTCCCGTCACTTGTCATCTGAAAAAACTGAGTGGATCGTTTCATATACATACAGCATGTTATGTTATCAAAAATCATAGTATCTACGCGGCAAGCTTGCAAACCACATAGACACTAAGACACTGAGAGTCGTATTCTAGAACTCTACTCAATGCTCAAGTCGGGATTTGAGTATGGTTTAAAGCACTCGAAATCATACTCAAGTTCCTGCCATTAGGGTCGTATTTCCAGTGTTTGTGTTTCAATTGCAATCCTGACTTGAGCATTGAGTATTCTAGAACTCTACTCAATGCTCAAGTCAGGATTTGAGTATGGTTTAAAGCCCTCGAAGTCATACTCAAGTCGCTGTCATTAGGGTCGTATTTCCAGTTCTTGTGTTTCCAGTGTAATCCTGACTTGAGCATCGAGTAGAGTTCTAGAATATGACCCATAGACGGTAATGTTCACATTATTGCCGCCTAGCAGTAATGTGATCATTGCGTTCCGGTTTTAAAGGGTGAAATTACAAGCACATGATATTTGTCAACTTATGTCTCAGGGTGACGGGCGCAGTAGCAGTGCCAATAAGATCTCTGCTATTTTAAGCTCTGAATGGCCCAGTAACTACTGTTGTGGACAGGGGTGTCGCTGTCCCCCAGGCTCACGACTTGTTCATCCCGTCATTTAGTATTATAAAAATAGACACTATGATTTTTGGTAACATAACATGCTACGGTTAGGGCACGTGTCCACGCTAAGAAAAGTCGCGAAGTCTATACAAGAATTCGTGTCGTTTCTGCACACGAGTACACTGTTTCGGGGCCGGACAAGAAAAAAATCGTGTCTATCCCCGACACGACGCGCTCTGCCGCTATTGTATGGGGCGGGGTGAGGTGCATTGTCAGTAAACGAACGTATATGCGCGTGGACGGGTGTTGCTTAGTAGTCAACAAAACATATTTCTTCCCACAGTCGGTAGTAAAACGACAGCTACCTGGAATTTACCCTATCACCACACGTCTATCCGAAAGCATTCGTATACCTAGTGTACATAATCATCATTTTCTTCTCTGCAACAGACACGACACGTTTTCGTGGCTAGATCCGACAAAGTTCTTGTCGTGTACAGCACAATTCGCATCTTTTCTGTAGCAGACATGTTACCTCCCGCTAGTGAGTACCCGGCTCATCAAACTTGGCAATTTCAACATGCTGTCTGTCGCTAGCCATTGACTGTACAAGGCATGCTTCTCACATGAAAGCTTTTCAACTTCCCGAAAAGAAAAAGCGTTCGAAGTGAAACAAATTTTACGTACAAAAAAGAAGTTATCCAAACAAAAAGACCTGTTTTGTTTTTAATTCAAAAAAAAGGTAATCCAATCTTGTTCGAATTTCAATTTGCAGACGTAATGAATGCCAATTGGTATATAAACATACAGTATATATATATATACACATATATATACATACGTCATTTATTATTTAACCATCGTTTGATTTCTATGGATAATTTAAGAATATTGTGATAGTTTTTAGATGTGGAATAGTTTATGATTTGGTGAAGTTTACAGATGTTTAAAATATTTAAATTATAAATATAAATCATGTTACTGAAGGCAAAGGTGAGCACCGCCGCCCAATGGTTTTGATATGACTACGTCGTCGGTGAAGGAAGGTCTATACTCAAAAACGGGTGAAGTTGGGCTGTGGAATATGATGATGACACATCAAATATAAAATAAACTATCCGGATTTCATGCTGTATAAATACCGACATTCCGTGTTATTTCTAACGGCGTAGTGCGTGTTTTATAAACACGACATTGCAGGATCTGTTCTCTGCAAGGTCCTAATTCTGAGGGAAGTTACGTTAAATCATGTTACGTTAAATCATGTTACGTTAAATTAGTTAAGAAAATTACTTGCAATCTAATCTTGGCATTGTAAGTAATTTTAGAAATCTTACATCAATATCATCATCATATCAGCCGGGAGACCCGACGCCCTTACCAGGTCATCCGTCCATCTAGTAGAGGGCCGTTCCACTGAACGCCTTCCGGTTCGTGGTCTCCATTCAAGAATCTTTCTGCCCCAGGAAATCTGACATAATATAAATTACATAATTTGATTTTAATTCACAGGAGTTGTTGCGGGGGATATTGAGGCCTTTGGATACACTGTACTTCAAAGGTAAGGCTATGAAAGTTTACGAGGCAGTCGAGGACGCTTGCACGTTTGAACGTAATACTTAATTGCCAAAAATCACAGACGCCGAGAACAAGTCTATAAATGTCGGAGAGTAGATACTACAAAAACTAGAAGTTTTTTTGGTAATAGTACATTGTTACAGAGGCCAGCAAGTCAGGGTTTGCTTGCGAGGCCTTATATTAATATGAGTCAAGTAGTCACCGTTTCCGCCGCGGAGTGTATTCTCAAACAATATGAGGAAATAATAAAAGAGTAAAGAGAGGAAGATGTGTAATAGAAAAATTAAAAAAAGTATTAATTAATATTAGAAGTAATATTTGTAGTGTTAACACAATTGTTAAAAGAAAATGTAATTGTTTTCCCAGACACATTAATAGTATATTGTCTGCTGAACTTCTGATGATGTGTTCGAATATGTATCTATTACAGTATTTTAGTTATAGCTCTTCTCACTAGCACTCATTTCTGCGACCAAAATATAAAAAACACGTAAAAACCAAAAGATTACCAAAACACTTTTAATCTTACCGCCGTTTTCTTTTTTTTAAGTAAGTACCGCTTACCGTACCACCGCTTACAGTACCGCTTAGGTAGGTGTTTTTAATTCTAGCAATTATGAACACTGGGCGGTTGGCATTGGGAGTTTTTCTTTTGCCTGTTTACATAGTTAATAGTAGAGGTAGATTTAAAAGTTCAGACAAGTGGATTTTCATAGTTACTTTGCAGGCCTTGGCCGGGAAGAAGTCGCACTGTCCATAAATGAGAAACTTTCCGTTGTTTGCATTACTTTCAAAAAACGAACACCTCCCAATTGGCTACCAATTTAGGAATTTTACCGCTTCTCACAGGAGGTGGTGTCCGCTACGCGTCCGTCACTGTCGAAACCCATCAGCATGATTGCCTGGTGATCGGCGCAGGAGGCGGTGGCCTGAGAACAACCGTGGGGCTCGTGCAGCAAAATTTTACTGTCGCACTCGTCTCCAAGCTTTTTCCCACACGGTCTCATACTATCGCTGCACAAGGTGGCATGAATGCCTCTATTGGTACGTATTTAATTGCATCAATTTACAATGCAATGCTCTTTATTGTGATGACCTTAAGAACAAAACACACGATACAACTGACCGTCTTGTCTCCGGTTATACAAAATACAAAGTTATGAGCCTATGCCAACGCAAATATCGTGTTGAAAGCCAGAAGCTCATAATTCCACTGGAGTTTACACTTAGAATTTCATGTAGTTATAACCTTAATACTTCAATGGAAATGAAATTCTAAAATTTCATGTGAATGCTTCATTAAAAAAATTATCTGAAATTAACAAACAACACTAAAATTAAAATTTTTGTCAAAATGCGCACTTAATAAAATATTCGACTAGCACGACTGCACACGGCGTCAACGTTATTTTCACCTCTTTGGGCACGTGTTGAGGTTCCTTTTACCTCGTAGGGAGCGCCTAGTGTCATTAATCAGATTTAGTAGGCTATTATAGCGTAGATATTTTTGATTTTGTATGAGTAACTATTAAATAATCAGTATTAAAGAACGAGGACGTTTTCATACAAATCCACGCGTTCCTGGGAAACAGATTTTATTTATTTCGTTTTAGTAAATGATATGGAACCACACGGATAAGTGTTTTCCATGCTCCGTACCGCCGCACAGCAAGACTCTCTCTCTTTCTCTCTCGAGACTTTTTTATACTGATCAAATATAGCACACCAAAGTATGCCATAAACTCTTGCCTGTCGATGTTTTTACAGTCCCGACTCCTAGAATATTGGTGGTCAACTCTTAGCTGATCGATATACATATTATGTACCTCAAAACATCGTCAATCATAGACTTATCAATAATTTGAAAGAACGCATTTAGTTCATTTTCAATGCCAATAGCATTTTGAGTCAAGCCAGTGGGCACTGTGGCTACATTTATCCCCTTGGTTTTTCTAGGAACACGGTGGTCTTTTGCCTTTGTGTAGATTTATTTTTTCCAATGAAAAATTCTTCCATTGTTTCGTCCTCTCCTTCAGATTTGTCTGAAGTGTCTTCTTGTTCGATAGCACTTTCTTCAGCTTGTTGTTCGATTTCTTCTTCCGAAAACTCGCTGTCACTCGAGGGAAAATAAGTCTCATCATCTTGCTCTGGCTCTCCGAATAAATTTTAAGCAATTTCTTGTAGCTCTTTTTCTGTAAGCGGCCTATGAGCCTTAATGGAATGCGTCTAAAATGACAAAAAAAAATTAGCTACGAAACAAACGATATAAATAAGAAAAAAATGGAAAAAAGTAGTTTAGTAAGTTCTTATTGAGGTGACAGAAGGAAACCAAGTTTTTCCAATAGGGTACAGTGGGAAAGGACTCCCCCTAATCGGCACGTAGTCGAGGACTCGTACACACGTTCCAATTAGGAAGCGGTTCAGGGTGCAACAACTACGTGTTACGTTCTAAAGCGCAGTTCCAATAAGGAAGCACCGCTAGAAGCGCAGTACAGTGCAGTAGGTTCAACAGTAACGATCTAAAGCGGAGTTCCAAACAAAGAAGCAAAGCTAGATGCGTAGTAAGTTGGATTCCATTCATGTTCGCATCGCCGCCGCCAGTAGTCATTCCGCGAGGGAAAATCTTAGCACCGCGATGCAGAATTTGCTATTTCGATGCCAATGCCATCTAGCGGTGCGTGACGGAACTAATATGACTTGTTGCCTATTATGCTATTATGTGATTTTGTTACATAGTTTATTTAATATACTTACACTATAAGGCGCGTGTCGTATAATTTACGCTCAACGTAAGTTTCCAAATATCAATTAATAACAAAAACTTCTACGCACACCCACTACATTTAGAGAAACACTTACCCTCAAACAGCTCAGTGCTCGATGTTTAAGTGGTACAAGTGGGGTAAGCGATAATGCGCGTTTGTCGTAATGTTTGCGACAGCGTGCCCGCTGGAAGGTTAAATGTGGCAGAGTTTGGCAGATTTAGGAATATTCTCCAAGTTCTTTATTATTTTAGTAATAAACTGAAAACTTGTTGTTTTCTGCTACTATGAATAAACATCTGAAGCGAAATACAGAACAATGTTATAAACATAACCTGTATCAACTTTACAAGGCTGTACTCAGTTAGCTTTTTTGATGCTTTGATAACGAATGACAAGTATTGATAAGTCTCTTTAATGCACGTCGTCGCCAAAAACACTGGGTCACAAAATACACGGGATCTCGCCATCCTTTTTTATATTGAACTCATATTAATTGACTCCCTATGGTGAACAGGTAGTATGCACGAGGATTATTGGGAATGGCATTTCTATGACACCGTCAAAGGATCAGACTGGCTCGGTGATCAGGTAATTTACCGTCTGTTATTAATTAAGATATCAAAATGTGTAGTGCCCTTTGTACTTACTCCGTGTAAGTTAATCTTTCTGAAGGTATAAGTATGTAATTATCTATACAATAATGCCTTTACAGGCTCTTCTAATAGAAATTCAACTCCTTGTGAAAGAGTTCGTCCTGGGCAGTACTGCCATCTTCCGGTTCAGGTTTGGAAGGGTAAAGGTTGCTGGTAAAATTATTTATTATTTATTAATTACGCACACAGCGACGAGCAGAGCTAACTAAGTGACGGGAGAAGTCGGGTACCTGATGGTAAGCGACACGCCTGTTCTTCGCAGTTGCAGTACCACTCAAGAGCTTTAAATCACTAAGATCTGAGGGGCACTGCCACCGCGCCCGACACCCGGAGGTATAAGTTGACAAGTCCCAATCCTGGAAATCAGTAATGCTCACACTACTGCTTGGCGGCAGAAATAGGTAAGGCGGCAGTACTTCCCTGGACTAACTCTTTCCCACGGAGCTCTACTGCTACTGATAGAGAATTTAATCGTGAACAAAGCTCATATCTTCTTACGTCACAAAAGATGGGTGCTTTATTCATATAATATAAAAAAATATCCCAACTTATTCGCCTTTACTTCGCTATTTTTTATAAAGTGTTCAGATTTCTTTATAAAACACTGTAATTACTGGTCAAGTAAATTCAAATGGTTTTGTGAATGTGAATCGTACAATAATATTGCAAAATATTGGTTTATCGTTTTCAAAGTAATTTCGAAGTTAAAGCCTGACTATGGTAAACTTAATACTATGAGAAAGACATTTCCCTGGGCATATAATATAATTGGCTTAAATAAAATCCATTCTCAATATTTGTTAATTAAGACAAGCACCAGTTTTATAAATTAGTGGTGCTTTTCCACTGACGAAATGAGACGAGGCGAAGATGGATTGAAATGTATGCAAAAAAAAATTTCGAATCCACGTATCCACTCTCGCGCTCGATTACAGTAGGTACAGACTGTAATACATCTCTTGAATAAATATCTATTGGTCTTTTAAACAGTAGCAACTAGCGATGTGATATGGTACCATGGGTGTAGGAGAATGGTCTCCCAGAATTGCACGTCCTTGCTAGAACGATTTAACTATGTTGCAAAGTTAAAGATGATAGGGATTGAGTTTTCATCAATTATTTTAGCAATGATGATTATACTTTTTATGGGGTTGCGATAAAAGCTCCAAAAAGTAAATTATAAATGTGCTTATTCAATTTATAAATATTACTACTTTATTTTTAATAAGCTACCCACTGACCTACCAATAAATGGACATCGGGTTCGCGCTTAAAAGTGTCCGCATCTATAGGGCGTTAAAATCACCTACAAAGCGTCAATCGCGCAACGCAAAGTCTTCGTTTGTTCGACTGTCAACGGGGTTGTCAATCATGCAGTAGCATATACTAATAACTTGTAAAAATGACTGCAGTAAAGTGTAAAAAGAGGGGTTTGTATCATATTTTCACTAAACAAATATATTGTGTTATCATAGTTCTCATTTCAAAATTTTATTTTGTACAGTTTTATAGTAGGTATTTAATTTATATATAAATGAATCGTAAATATAAATTACAAAGCACTCGAAATAATGTAATAGCTAACTGTCCTTTTCCTACTCATTGCATGCGTAAAAGATGAAAAGAGACCCATTGTGTCAATTTCAAGAAGCTTATATATAAACTTCTTGGTCATTTTCAATTGTTCGAACCACAAGCGATTGAAATATTTAGAACAAAGAAACTATACAGTCGCTTTGATTTTTATTTTAGTTTTAAAATGATTTTTAATTAAACGTTAGCAATAACTAGCAAAATATTGTTGTACTCGTTTTACGGCTTGGGATTACCTATTAGAAGTCAGAACATACATTTGCCCGAAATAACGTTAGCTCGACTTTTCATAATGTCAAATGTATTTTTTTGGAAAGATTACAAAATAAAAACTAATTTTGTTTTTGTGGAAAGCATTAAAATTACACGAAAGTGTAACGGTTTTATTATAAATTGGTTTTCGTAATTACGGATATTTGAGTTTACGTTTAGTTGGAATATCTGTACATTTCTTATAGTACTCGCTTATTTTCACATTTGTAGTAACATTTGTATGTATGTATCTGCCCTACTGTTTATTATTTCTTTAAGTAAATTTGTACAAAATTCGACATAATAATATGTATAAAAATTAATTAATATTTACGACAAAGGCTACTCCATTACTCTTGTGTTCAAGTAATTTTCAGTCGAAGCTAAATATGGTGCATTTTGTTAAATTTCCAGTAGAAGCTGAATGTGGTGTTTTTGGGCCTTTAAATTGTTGCAATCAAAATTAGGCAGTACTGCAATGACGTTACAATTTAAATTAAATGTTTTAGTTTTTTATATTTCGTTACGTTTGTATAGGTTAACTTCGGACATTTTTTTCGTGGTTTTTGTATTAGACCCGGCGTCCATTTGTTGGTAGGTCAATGAAGCTACGAAATATTTTGTGCTAATAAAAATAAGGAAACAACCGAATGAAATACTGAAAGTTCGGAAAAATCTTGCTAGCCTACTACAAACTAATACGACACGACACTACCAATTTAATTAATATTTTACCGAAAAGTTTCATTATAAATTTCTTTATTCGGTTATACTGTTTTTTTTTCGTAGAATTGTGATTAGAACAAGTTTTTTAATTGTTTGCTAAATATGATTAATGTTATCGGTTCATTCTGTTTATTTTTTTAGTAACTAATTTTGACACAGCTTCGTATATATCGCTGTAATTTCATTTGTTTTTCCGAACCTTTATTATTTGTCTTTTAACCGACTTCAAAAAAGGAGGAGGTTCTCAATTCGACTGTATGTTCTTTTTTTTTTGTATGTATGTTACGCGATAACTACGGTATTTGTGAACCGATTTTCATGATTCTTTTTTTGTTGGAAAGGGGGTACTTCCATAGCGGCCCCATTTCAATTTGAAGGAAATCATCCACCTCTAAGGGTGGCTGTTCACGCATGAAGATTCATTTTTATAAATAGCGCCTACCTTAAATTTAGGAGCAATTACTTTTAGCAGTTATTTAGTTGATTTTGCTATTTCTCCAATTCAAGGCGTTTTTCCCTCGATATTTTATTATCTCCAGTATCAAGTATTTCAATGAAACTTAGCAAATAGACGTAATTCCACGTACTTTTGAGGTCGGTTTTTTTAGTACTCTGTACTGAGATTATTTATTTATAAGTAATTGTGACTAGAAAGTTCCGATGGCACGGTTTTTATAATGTTGGTTTTATGTGAAAAAATCAATCTGTCGCTTGCAGCTGTGACCTACAAAATATATATATAATCCAGGTCAGTGCTGACATAACTACTTTAAAAGGCTACCCGCGAACGACTTACTATATCATCCTTACACTCACTTAGAATGCTAAGGTGATCGTTCTCTCACCACCAAATTTTTCACGGTTTGGGGATTAACAAGCTTTTGGACTCGAAGAGGGGAAGGGTTTCAGAACGTAGTGCACACCCATCAAATGCATGACGCAGACGTGGATACCCAAAAGAATGCGTGACGAGTTAGAAGCTCGTATGAGATCTTTGTCTGTAGCGGCGATAATCGCGATTAGTAGAGGAAAGAAAAGCTATGGCGCTAGTAGTGGTCTGGTAACGGTTGAAGAATGGACGAATACTATGAGAATTTAGGAAAAATCCGGCTAGATTCACACCAACGTCTTCCACCAGTCTGCCACCAGAAAGTATGTATAAGCATTACTGCGTTCTAGTTTAGAAGGACAAGGCTGCTGGTGAAATTATAGGCACATGGACTTGTCTATGTCTCAGGGTGTGCCCCTGAGATATTTACGATTTAAAGCGTGGCGCTGCAACTGTTGTGGATAGGCCTGTCGCCGCTAACCACCAGACGCACGACTTGTACGCCCCGTCACGGGGTATTATAAAATTTTTCGGCAAACCGTACCAGAGGCTATGCCAACTAAGCATATGTGTGTGGACTGAAGGCCCACATGATTTTTGCCAATTGTAATAACTGGAATGTTTAGTACAAGTTGTAAAGCATTTCATAAAACCTATCCTGGAATTTGTAAAGCATATATAATACTACCTAAGGTGCGGTCTCTCAGTTCTCACACCAAAGCATCCACTTCTGGGCAAGTATTTAGTTTGCGGCATATTATGTTAACAGAAATTTAGTAAAAACCTTTTTAATATATGCTTTACAAATTCCAGGATGCGTTTTACAAAATGCTTTACAACTTATACTAAACAATCCAGTTATTACAACTGGCAAAAATCATGTGGGCCCTCAGTCCACACACACATAACTAAGCCCCGGAACGAACCTTACGAGTTTTTCTATGTGCTTGTTGTAGATCTTTGTTTAAGGTTTGCGCCATCTGTGAGAAATCTATTTCTTCACTAAGCCAGGATAACTTGGTATAGCGTCTGGTACGATTTGTTCAAATCCAGCCCGATCGAAGGAATTTTTTCTAAGTGTTCGTAGTAATAATTATAACAAGCTATTGGAGTAATTTCACAAATATAATTGAATATCACGATGGTTAAACATTCAATAAACTTAAAAATTACTTTAAATTGTTTAACGTCTCTTACTTAAGGCTTGAACATATCCAGCACGCTGGCCTAATTACTTTTTAAATGCCTTATTTCCCCCAACACAGCGGTTTCCTCTCACGACACTTTTTTTAATAATCGACTTTAAACATGTGTCGGTTAGAGCCAGCAGTATAGGGCCGCGTCCAGAATTAAACGCCGGCTTCTTGTTCACTTTCAGTTTGTTACTGTGTTGCGCATTTTGGCTCTCATCTACAAGTCGTTCATATTTTGAAAAAAAAAACCAAAGAAGCAGTGGTCGTGAACCTTTTGCTTCAGTCATCGAATTATAATAATAATAAATTTCTTTATTTCGGACTTAAATTATCCATAGTATGTTAATAACAGCAAAAACTTAAAGTAAGGTTAGTACAAACAAAATGAAAATTCTAAAACCACAACTACAGCTCCCATTGGGCCACACCTTTTGTTTGACTCATCCAATATTCTGCAATTGGACAGTCAAACCTCCAAGCGATAGCGTTCAGAATGCTGTTGGTACTTTTCCGGATGCGACTCCACAGGGCGACAATCCTCTTTCGCATGACGGCTTGGAAGCCGTCCGTACGAGCTTCCGCAAACATGCCCGACGCGCTACACCTACTTGGCTTGAATTGTAGTAAAGGAAAATGTCGTGAAAATTAATGACAAAAGACATTTACAAATTACAAAATAATTTATTGTGTAATTATTTTGTAAAAAGTCTCCGTTTAATGTTTGAAAACTCAGTATTTTTCTCTCATTTCGGTAATTTATAACAGTGGACGAATGGAAAAACAATCATCAATAATATTATCGAAAATTTTGTTTCACGATGTTTATTAAATTGCTTTGCGTAACAGAATGAAATGACGCCGATAAATACCCAAAAGTCCCTTCTATAATAATAATAATAACGCACATATTGAAATCCTGCATCGCGGGTGCCATGGACACACACATAGACAACCACATATTACACCCACACTCACGCGAGAAATAAATGTAGGCCTTACAAATATTGCTGCCTGCCCGGGAATCTCTAGCTCGGGGTAGCTCTAGCTTTCAAATACTTAGCTCCGCTAACCCTTTTCTCCACCGGAGCTACGCTAAGCGAGACTTGGAAAGTGAAGTAATCCTATTGGTGGATTTTGTCCTCGCACACCGCCTCGCTACGTCGCAGATCTCTAGTGGAAAGGCAGCTTTATGCTAAAAAAACGAAGTATAAGTACAGGTGTTCTCTAGTTTGAAACCAAATGACAGTGCCTATGTCATCTAGCATGTTTATAATTATCTAATAATTATTTCACAGGACAGTATACAGTACATGACGCAAGAAGCGCCGAAGTGTGTCTACGAATTGGAAAATATGGGCATGCCATTCTCACGGACCCAAGACGGCAAAATTTACCAAAGGCCTTTCGGGGGCGGGAGCACGCATTTCGGAACGAAAGTTGCCAAGCGAACGTGTTGTGTGGAAGATCGGTAACAATTAATTTTCCTACGTTCAACAATTTTATTGTCTTCCTTTTCTCTTTTATCGTTGTTTCTTTTATCTTCCTCTATTGCATCTTCCTTCTTTCGTTTTACCCATTGACTTACAAATAAATGGACGACGAGTCTAATACAAAAACCACGAAAAAAATGTCCCAAGTCACCCTATTTAAACGTACTGACATGTAAAGGAATATGAAAAAGCTAAAACGTTGAATTTAAATTGTAATGTCATCGCAGTACTGTCTAATTTTGCTTGCTTCGCTGTCAGTCGAACAAACGAAGACTAAAGCGTGAATGACGCTCTGTATACGATTTTAATGCCCTATAAGTTCGGACACTTTTTAGCGCGGACCCGACGTCCATATAATTGTAAGTCAATGGTTTTGCCCTTTATTTCCTTTTCGGCAGGTATCTCGATGTTTATTTATTTACAACACCTGTAATGTTTCCCTCGTGCTTCGCTATCCGTATAAATTGTTAATTTCCAGCTTCTCCTAAGCTTTCTTTCCCACATCTAGGCCACAGTCATTCACTCAATTGTTTACTGGCATCAATAGACAGGATACCTGCCTGTTGTTTTGGTGGTTCATTTTCACTAATGTTTTTGGTACGTTTTTTAACGTACGTACCAAAAACACTTCGAACATTTTGGCGTAGACTATCAATTAAAGTTACTATTTATATGCTCATAATAAATAATCCGATATGCTGTTGTTGTGTCAAAATCGGTTCCAAAAGAAAATGCGACGTATCTAAATGAAATTTAGAAGTCTATTATTATATTATATATTATTTCCTTTCTATTGAATCAATTCGTTTGAAAATCGTATTGAACTAAATCTATACAAAAAATGGTAAGATGCACTTGAATCGATTTTCGTGAAGATCGAATCTTAGTAGTGAGAATCCACAGGATTGCAATATGGCTATTGAAATTGCCTCTTTTTATTTGTTATAAGTGTGGAATTATGCCAAACTCCGTATTTGCCTACTCTGCCTACGTTTTTGAACAAAAATGGGTTGAAACTACATATAAAAAACCGATTACCGCCTGCGGGTTGATTGGGTTTTTTAGTGGGTAAAAACAAACCCATCTCTAGTCGCCGACTATCTCTAGTCCCTGATATCAACTATAACACATTCATGTTAGATCCGTGCGGGGATAAAAATCCGCCATTCCACCAACACAATCGTCGCCCGTGCTAGTGGTCTACCGTTAATTAGTGCATATTAAAAGTATAAAAGCTATTTACAAGAATTATGAAACCAAGGAGAATGAGTTTTTAAAAATTATTTATATATTTGAAACGAACAATTCGTTCAGTGGCTGATATTGGATTGTTTTTATTTTAGTAGAATATTCTTCAGTTAAGCAATTTATCTACTATTGACATGCTTACTTTTGCTGACCACATCGTCTCTATGTGAGCCAGACCGTGTAACTTTCTCAACGTATTTCAATATTATTTTTAATGTTAGCTACGTTATTTATTCACCCCCTCGGTTAAACCAATCTGGAAAATTCCTTGTTTAAATTGTTTTATTTAATTCAAACGCCATCTTCCGGTATACGTTGATACTAACAACTTGCGAAGAGGGGTTACAGACACATTTACTCAAACGATGTAATGATGCTGTGTGTCGTTCTAGTTTAGCAATTCGACGATAGGTGTAGTGATTGTAGCAAAATCAATTGTTCGTCCTTTTATTAACCGAATTTAAAAAAGGAGGTTCTCATTTCGGCTGTTTGTTTTTTGTGTTTTACGCGGTTCGACATTTGTGAACCGCTTTCGATGCTTCTTTTTTTTTTGGGAAGGGTTTGAAGAAAATGTTCCACCTCTAAAGGTAGCAAATTAAGGTATGAAACCGGTTTATTGGATTTTAACCGATATTAAATATTTGAGGTTTAAAAAAGTTATTTAGGAACCATTAGTTATTCCTTTATCTGTAAAAATATATGATAAATCATCTCGGAATACTATGTTTTTTTAAAATAGTAATTAATATTGTCGAGATCTGGTTAAGAAGCGTTTGTTTGTGGTGTTGTGTCAATTTCCATTGGAAGTTTCCTTGTTATTTCAGCCAACCAAGCCTTTTACCCATTCTGTTACTAATTAAAACCTGAATTACAGTACAGGCCATTCTTTACTACACACTCTCTACGGATACCTGATGAAATACAAAGACAAGGTTGACATTTTCTCGGAGTACTTCGTTCTGGACATCTTGATGCAGGACGGGGAGTGTGTGGGAGCGCTCGCCATGTGTATGGATGACGGCAGTTTACACAGGTACAATTCCACTCACTATGCTCTTATTACAGTGAGAATATGGAGGTATGTCTGTGGTTAGGTACACACAGCGGCTTTTAGAAGCAATACAAACGCGCGTTCACGAAACGCGCGTTTGTACCGATGCAGTCGCGCGTTTGCATCAATGCAGTTATATCGCCTGTGTAAAGGTAGACGATTAGCTACTGCATCGCGTTTGCATCGCTGCTAAACGTCGCCGTCTAACCGCTCTAAATATTGGTCCTAATGGGACAAAACCCACACTTGCGCCTGCTGTGGGCAATATCTCAGGGTTCGAAATTCATGGTATTAATTGATAATTACTCGTACCATTATAAGGGCCCAGTTACACGAGACGAAAGATTTCGCGCGGCCCCCACGCGACGTCCACCCGGTTACCACGCCTCCATGTACATTAATGGCGAATCTGAATTCTATTTACTAGGCGACAACATTTAAATTGCTCCGAATAATACAACCGTTATGAATCTCTCACTAGATGTCACTAACAACGACGAATGACGAAAGTCCGTGCAAAGGTCTATATAACAAAAACATATAGATTTTCGACGACTTGGTAACTGGATCCGTGGCTCAGATGATTATAGCAATGCTACGGTGCAGCATGGTCGTGGTTTCAAGTCCCATTGGGCCGACGAAATTTTTCTATGTGCTATCTTTGTATTCATAATCTATCATTATAATTATCTTCATAGCAAGTAGAGAAGACACGCATGCCGTGCAGTGGAAGGTATAAATGTATAATTAAGGCGCCTATCTCCTGTTAGACTAGGCAGAGACTACGAACTCGCTCTTGAATTTTTCGTGTTTAAACTGCCACTGTGGCCAATCGGTCACGCAGGTGTCCTAGGTTCGGGTCGGAAAAAATATTCGTTTGGCCTACATTTACTCTAAAAGCAGCTGCGAGTATGCACGGGGTTCCCTAGTGTGAAGCCTTAAATTATATATTTATGTGTTACTCGTACGTATAAACAAGAAATAGTTATTTGTTATGCAAGGCTGCAAAGCTGTAGTTTGACGCAAATGCGAAACACAGTTTTCACCTCACTGTAGCGAGGAAAATGGTAGATGAAAGTACTATAACAAATCGGTTTTAATAAAAAAAAATTAGTTATCGTTGTTAATTTAATGTCAACAATAATAAGAATATAATATACCTATGGATTTATATATTACATAAATAATGTAGGACAAATCGCGTAGTTGAACGTGTCATTGTTTTTTTTTTCATCGAAAGAAATAGTTAGGTGCACCACAGTCCATGGTCAAGTTCGAACTTCAAAAACCTTTTCCACGCTAGCATGGAAAACGGTTTTGCGCGCAGATATGTAATAAGAAAGAAACCCTTTCCGAGCTAGTAAGGTAAAAAAAAATTGTTCAATTTATCAACATTACGTTATTTCTTGTTCTAACTGTAACAGCAAAATACACTCGAGAGCAATGAATCCGGGTCACTAAAAGAATCCGAAAAATCTCGGAAACTAAAAATGCTAGGTTAACGCAATAAATTGTATTTAATAGACAATTTAATACTCCTTAAATGAAGGTATTAAAACTTTTTAGTTATTGTAAAGTTATATTATAAAAAAATCAAATATGAAAAGGGAACACTTTCGAAGATGGAACTACGAAATTACAGCATTTGTTTTTGCTTTTGTTTGTAATCTGTCATTTATGTGGGTACATAAACCATGTTGATAGTGCTTAATATTCATTATTTAAGCTGAAATCATGTCGCTTACACTTGAAGAATGCACCAGAATACTTACATTGGTGGAAACTGGCCGGAGTCAGCGCGATACAGCCAGGACTGTCGGTGTGTCGCTGTCAACAGTACAAAGAGTTCTCCGACGTTACGAAGAAACTGGTTCTAACCTACGCAGACCAGGAACGGGCAGAACTAGGTGTACCACAGCACGAGAAGACCGATACTTGGTGAACACCATGCTTCGAAATCGCTTTCTCACAGGAGCTGAACTCACAAATCAGTTTCGACGCCTCGGAGGAAGTAACCCAAGTGCATGGACAGTAAGACGTCGGCTTGCTGAATCTAACTTAAAACCCCTTAGACCTGCAAACGGCCCTAAACTGGAGCGTGGGCATCGTATTTCAAGACTAAGATATGCCCAGAACCACGTAAATTGGAGTATTGAAGATTGGTCGAAAGTTATGTTCTCCGACGAATCAAAATTTATGCTCTACAAGCACGATGGAAGACACAGAGTGTATAGAAGACCAGGGGAAAGATTCAAGCAAGCATGCATCGAAGAAAAAGTAGCCTACGGTGGTGGGTCTGTACTTGTGTGGGCCGGAATTTCTTCTGAAAGTCGCACAGAGCTGGTGATCATAGAAAACGGCTCTTTAACTAAAAAGATATGTAGATGAAATCCTCAATGAACACGTTGGTCCATTTATGGTCAATTTTGGTGAGGATGCTATATTTATGCGTGACAATGCCCGACCTCATACAGGTAGGATTGTAAATGACTACCTTCAAGAGATGAACATTACTTGTATGGAGTGGCCAGCGCGCAGCCCGGATATCAACCCGATCGAGCATGCTTGGGACGAGCTAGGGAGATGCGTAAAACAACGAAACCCTCCCCCAATCACGCTTCGTGAGCTCAAAATTGCTCTCACAGGGGAATGGGAGAATATTCCCCAAAATCGTATAAGAAACTTGGTGTACAGCATGCCAAACCGCCTAAACGCAGTAATGGAAGCACGAGGAGGCAATACGAAGTATTAAAATTCAAGAAAATCGTAATAAAGTTCAAAAATTTCATGTTTCCTATTTTTGTTTTAAGGAGAGATCAGCAGTTTTTTTCTTTATGTAATTTTGTGTAAATAAAATGTATGGTGACTCATATTTTTTTTACTTTCATTTAAGGAGTATTAAATTGTCTATTAAATACAATTTATTGCATTAACCTAGCATTCTTACTTTCCGAGATTTTTTGGATTCTTTAAGTGACCCGGATTCATTGCTCTCGAGTGTATTTTCTTCTCTTTCCCTTTTCACTAACGCTATAAATCATCTTTCAAATCCTATATACTCTGTAACATTATTGTCCTGTACTACAGGCTGATTGTAGTGTTGTGTTGCATAAGTTTGACAAATACCATCAGTTCGTCCTAGAATAGGTCGCACTCAGACCGGTCCACGTAATGGGTAGACGTATGAGTGCGATAGGTGGCTGATGGTAACGATTGCATTACAGATTCCAAGCCAAGAACACGGTAATCGCGACAGGCGGGTACCCCAGAATGTTCTTCTCGTGCACAGCGGCGCACACTTGCACAGGAGACGGGTGCGCGTTTGTGGCGCGGCAGCAGATTGCGCTGCAGGATATGGAGTTTGTTCAATTCCACCCAACGGGTAAATAAAGGAACCTAAAGGCCTATGCAGGTTTATACATCGCTGTCGGTAGTGAAAAATACTATAGGTATTCCTCCGGTCATTGATATGAAAATCCGCGGATAAAAAATGTCCTGCATTACCGCCCAGGCATCGAGTATTTAATAACCAGAAATACAAACAAAATAATGGCCATCCATCCTTTGCAACTCACCAGGCAAATGGGCCTTATATCACTTATACATATCAACTCTCGTTTGTGCTGAAATCACAAATTAGAAAGCTGAAATAGCACAGCGCCAGCACCTGACCTGTGTGTACGTCTCCGTATATTCCAAAATTATTTTGTATATATTGTAATAAAGATAATATCTCTAACAATGCCGTGCTGTTCTATTCGGTGGTGTGGGAAAAACCGCAAAACATCTAATTACAAAACAAACGGAATCACATTTCATCGGTAATTAAATATGTAATTTTCCGATTATCGTCCATTATAGCAAAGCTCAAGTTAAACTGGTCGGTTTGAAGTGAAACAATTAACGACACCAGTCGATTGTTTCGAATTCGGGCTGGCCAATCAGAGCGCATCTGTCATCGTAATGATTTAGCAGAATAATTTTAATTTTAATAAATTAAATGACGTTCCGTGTCTATTTCTGGTTATATAGCCAGAAATAGAAGACTCAACGCGCAGGGGACTGTGACAATGCGACCTCTTTCGTCATCTCACCGTTTTGTTACCTTTTTCTCTGCTTCCTGACCACTTACTTTTCTTTTTCTTTGTCATTCTTAATTTGCTTCGTTCCGTCGCCACTCCCATCAAAATTCTCGACGAAAAAAGACCTTCAATCATATAAACCTAAACTGCTTATAGAGCAGCCAATATATTACATACGAACACAGGCCCTTTTAGGGTAAGTTCGCTTGTTTTTTGTTTAATCTGTAGGGAGTGTTTTTATATTATTGTACCTGTTTTTATACTATTGTTTTTGTTACAGTCTGTTCCTTCATTCCTTCTTTTCCTTCTCCTTTTCCCTACTTTCTATCATTGTTACGCATGGTTATAGTATGATCTTACTCATTGACGTCACAGAAGTGATTGTCTAGACGGGCGAAAATCAAGATAGTTTCGCTACTCATAACGGTAACAACTTAGGTTTGACCAGGAATACCGCATACCCACTCGGATCTCGCTACCCACAGCGGTAGCGAATATCGCGTATATGTCGGCGGAACAGGCCCTTAAGGTGGTTTTCCACCTGCGAGGCGAGGCGAGACAAAAAGAGAAAATTGCTATTAACAGTTCGCGCGAGCTCGGGTTGTTATTGTGAATGGTGCTGTTCAGTTCTTCTTGTGATAAGCTCGCGGCTGAAGTAACAAGTCCCGTAAACTTTTATTATTAAATATGTTAACGGAAAAAGAATCGGATGAAGCAATCTTTTTAAAATTACAAACCGTGCGCACCTCACAATCTCGCGATTGATATTAATAGCCGTCGAGAGCTCCCGCGAGTAATCATGTTTCCGTTGCAGAGTATAATACTCTATGTAGACAGCAATCTGGCCTCGCCCATCCTCGTCAATCCAGACCTTTTCCACCGAAGGTGCGCTAGGAGAGAATTGAAATTTTCAGTCCTCGCCTCGCCCCACCGGTGGAAAAGCACCTTTACTCATCGATCGCGGTGCGTTTTATCCACGATGCGGGGAATTTACATAGGAAATGTAACGCACCCGGTGTTTTGTGAACCAACAGACGAAAGTTTAACAAGTTATGGGATGAACAAGTTGTGTCGTCGTGGTCGTTTCAAAACTGAAACCATCTCTCGCTCAAGGTTACTCGATAAGGGCCTACCGCTGAGTGTGCCGACGTCGGCACAAGCGCTCATACAAGTCTTTCATTTATGAGCATTCGTCTCCGCGCGACTGCACACGGCGGGCAATGTTATTTTCACCTCTCTGAGCGCGTGCTTAGGTTGCTTTTTCCTTGTAGCGCACCTGGTGTCATTAGTCAAATTTAGTACGCGATCATGGCGTAGGTATTATCGATTTTGTATAAGAAATATGTATCTTATACGTAGTAATTATTAAGTACATAATTTGTAGCAGAAATAGGTAAGGTGGCAGTACTTCCCTGGATGAACTCTTTCACAATATTCTTTTGATGTGAATTCCAATCCATTTGAATCCTCAATAAAATAAAAGTAAATTACTTTTTAATACAGTTGTTCAAAACGTGGTATTTTTCGCACTACAAATCGTGCGGAAAGTTGGATTTCTCGCACTAGTGCTTTTTACTTTTCCAGTTTTTTTTTAAATTTACTGTTGTTTTAAGTCTTAAACATAGAACCATTGACTTACAATTATATGGACGTCGGGTCCGCGCTAAAAAGTGTCCGCACTTGTAAGGCGCTAAAAAATGGACGTCGGGTCCGCGCGAAAAAGTGTCCGCACTTGTAAGGCGCTAAAATCGTATACAGAGCGCCAAACTCCGCTTTAGTCTTCATTTGTTCTAGTGACAGCGCGATACTGCGATGACATTACAATTTAAATTTCGAATAGGTTGACTTGGGACATTTTTTCCGTGGTTTTTGTATTAGACCCGTCGTCCATTTATTTGTAAGTCAATGCATAGAACTAAAGAAGTTGTATATTTATTTAATATTTATGTGCTTTGTGACGTACATAAGTCATTCGTCATTAAAACTTATATTTATTTACAAATACTATATAATGAACGTATCGAGTGGAGGTCCACAGTCTCTGCCTACCCCTGAATGGGTGACAGGCGAGATTTTTATGTATATATATTTATTTGTTCTATGTATTACAGATAAATTGTATCTCACTACCGTGCACGGGTTCCTAAAGAAGTTTAAACAAAAGTACCAGGACTTCATAATAAGAAAAGTGGTTACAGACCTTTTTATTACAGAAAATAAACAAAAACAGCACGTTAGAACTAGATTTCCAAGACTTTTTTTAATTGTGTCTTTGTGAAAAGCATCAAAATTGCTCGAAAGCGTTACGGTTTTAGTATAATTAGGTTTTCGGAATTAGGGTTAATGTATCTACCCAACTCCTTATTATTTCTTTAAGTGAATTTGTACAAAATTCGACATAATAATACATAGAGCGCACTATAAGTTTCCGAAACTGGCCACTTACATAAACAATATTAATTTAAAAAGTAATTAGAACATTTGAAAATGGAACTCTTTGGCTGTAGAATGCAGTTTGTTACATCTGACTTTCACTTGTTTTTACATTGTGACGTCATTTTAGAAATTGCTTGTCTTCGTCACCATGGATTTAACACGTAAAGGTAAATTACCTACCAACTTTTTTTAAATCAATGAGTATGTTATTAAATTTTCAAGTTCTAAATGCATAATGCTAAAATATAAAGAACTTTAAGAAAACAATCTTTCTTATTTAAAAAAGTTAGCAATGGAAATGGCATATCGAGTTCTTAGGTTTTCGCGATTGTTACACATAGGAATGAAACTATTTTTCCGGATTTAAATCGCGTATATTTGTTGTACGGTTGACCACACAGTCAACCGTGACCATGGGACCTGTAAAGGGCCCGAAACGTCGGTTTGTTTGAAAAAACAAATATACGCGATTTAAATCCGGAAAAATAGTTTCATTCCTAAATGGAAATGGCATCTACGATCTTCAATTAACATATTTACAATATTTTGTAGAATGTGCAAGGAGACTCGCGTTTGTTCAAGGGTTAACGCACTCTGGCGACGCGTGCCTGTTATTAAATTGTGAATATATCTTTTTAGGCATGTATGGTTCAGGCTGCCTGATGACTGAGGGCTGCCGAGGTGAAGGGGGTTATCTAGTGAACAGCGAAGGTCAACGCTTCATGGAAAAGTACGCGCCCAAAGCCAAAGACTTAGCCAGCAGAGACGTTGTCTCTCGATCCATTGCAACGGAAATCCGGCAAGGTTCTAAACTTATGTACTATTATTAGCCTACAACGTTTTCGTTCTTAACACTGGACTTCTCGTATTCGATTGCTTTTCTCACTAACTTTTCTGACGAATTTTATCGTATACGATACGTCCTCTTGTCTTTTTAACCGACTTCAAAAAAGGAGGCACGTTTTGTACGTATGTTACGCGATAACTTGATTTTGATTGGGTGGCAAACTAAGGGACGAACCCGGTTTCGCACACTTTCTGGTTCCATTTCCACAAACTTTTGATGTCGGTTTTTTAGTAAGCACTTTGCACTGAGAGGGTTTTTGAATCTAATTTTGATACAAAGACTTTCACACAACGATATTGTATGTGCGTACTAGATGCGGCGCTCCATACACAGGCTGTGTTCCACTGATGTGCGGTGAAGACATAGCACTTCAGTATCCTATGATATTTACAGCCTGTGTATGCTTATTAATCTATATTAATAAGCTACAGAGTGTTCTGACTGCACAATAACAGAACAGCGTTCATATGAATAAAATAGTTACTGTGGTTACCATATACAAATTAAAAAATACAAAGACTAGGCTGCTTGGTCCAAAGACCTTTGCCTTTTCGCCAGGAAAAGTACCTACATAACATCAACAATTCCAACAACTCGACTGTAATTTTTTCTTTTACTCAAATTGTCTTTCTTTCTAGTAATATAATACTAGTAAATAGTAAGTGGAAGGCCCCTGGGTCAAGGTCAAACGAATGGCTTTACGTTAATTCCCCAAATAGGGATAAATATCATTAGTAAACACTCAATATGCCTTGCTTGTTCCCAATAGGTATAGACTGTCACATCTGTCCACGATACTATGGTACAGTGTTTTGTTTGGAACGTGTAGTTACTGTGAATGTTCTTGTCTATAGACTGAAGTCTTCGCATTTACACGTGTTACAGCAAGAATTATCATTCCGAACATTAACCTACGAATAAATTGACGTCGGGTTCGCGCTAAAAAGTGTCCGCACCTATAGGGCGTTAAAATCGCATACAGAGCGTCAATTGCGCAACAGTCTTCGATCAAATCATGCAGTACCATATTAACAATACCCTGTAAAAATTACTAGTGAATCTTAGTGACGAATTTCGTGATGGTCGCCCGTCCTCTATTGTGAACAACAAAAACATCGATGCTGTGCGCCGTATGATCTAAACAGACGGCATGCGACATACCATGAGATTCGGGCATCTTTAGGCATAGGCATGAGTTAAATACAATCAATATTACACAAACATTTGGGTGTGAAAACGCTGTGCTCTCGGTGGATCCCACATATTTTCACTAAGGCTCTAAAAACGGATCGCGTCACTTGGTGCAATGCTATGCTTACCAGATTCAACGAAGGGGCGTCAAATTTGGTGTGGGACATAGTAACAGGTGACGAAACATGAATTTATAGTTACAATCTCAAAACAAAGCAGCAATCGAGCGTATGGGTCTTTCGAGATGAGACGAAACCAGCGAAAGTGGCGCGCGTGCAAAGTCCCTCTAAACGGATGATTGCTTATTTTTTTTAATAAAACTGGACACGTGGCTACTGTTGCTTTGGAGAATCGTTGTACCGTAAATAGTGATTGGTATACGACCATTTGTTTGCCGGAAGTTACTGACATACTCCGTAAAAGCCGTATCATCTTGCACCACGATAATGCCAGTTCTCACACGGCCAGACAGACAAATGTATTTTTGAAGGTGAACAACGTTGACCTTATGAGCCATCCCGCATACGTCCCGACCTAGCACCTTGTGACTTTTATTTACTTCCAAAAATTAAGAACCAGTTACGCGGGCTACGATTTTCATCTCCTGAAGAGGCTGTCGAAGGGTATGAAAAATATGTTTCAGAGATTGTCACGGAGGAGTGGCATAACTGTTTTCAAAATTGGCTCATTCGTATGAAAAAGTGCATTAACGCTAACAGATAATATTTTGAGAAACAATACATTCATTTCTGACCATTTATAGTATTTTTTTCTTATTCATTCCGGAAACTTACAGTGTCACGTATATATAAAAATTAATTAATATTTACGATAAAGGCTACCCCATTACTCTTGTGTTCACGTAATTTTCAATGGACGCTAAATATGGTGCATTTTGTTAAGTTTCCACTAGAAGCTGAAGCAGTATTGCACTGACATTACAATTTAAATTAAATGTTATAGTTTTTTATATTTCGTTACATGTTTTTCGTGGTTTTTTTATTAGACCCGATGTCCATTTGTTGGTAGGGCAATGATTCCAAAATTTGAATAGTCCAGACCATTGACTTACAATTATATGGACGTCGGGTCCGCGCTAAAAAGTGTCCGCACTTGTAAGGCGCTAAAATCGTATACAGAGCGCGACACTCCGCTTCAGTCTTCATTTGTTCTACTGACAGCGCGATACTGCGATGACATTACAATTTAAATTTCGAATAGGTTGACTTGGGACATTTTTTTCGTGGTTTTTGTATTAGACCCGTCGTCCATTTATTTGTAAGTCAATGGTCCAGACAAAGAGCCAGACATTCGCAAGAAAATCCGGACTTTTTATTAACAAAGTAAAGTCGAAAATGTCTTTCACGCGGCAGCTGAGATGTACAAGCGCCAGGACAACAAATTATATGTCGTAAATTCATTCCAAAGATCCGGACAATGGACAAATCCGGATGGATTGTGTCTCTAATTACAGCTCACTGTGTCAAGTGTCAAACCGAAAACATATACGTTGTCTTAAAAGAGTTACCTAATGCCATCGTCACGTCCGCGCTAAAAAGTGTCCGAACTTATAGGGCGTTAAAATCGTATACAGAGCGTCATTCACGCTCTAGTCTTCGTTTGTTCGACTGACAGCGAAGCAAGCAAAATTAGACAGTACTGCGATGACATTACAATTTAAATTCAACGTTTTAGCTTTTTCATATTCCTTTACATGTCACTACGTTTAAATAGGTTGACTTGGGACATTTTTTTCGTGGTTTTTGTATTAGACCCGTCGTCAATTTATTTGTAAGTCAATGCCTAATGCTAATATTTACGATAGCTGGGTACTGAGTGGAAATATTTTGTCTTTTACAGGCAGGGGAGTCGGCCCTAAAAAAGACCACATGCATTTACAACTGCATCACCTCCCGGCGGAAACCATCAAGTCTCGGTTGCCGGGAGTCTCAGAGACTGCTTACATCTTTACTGGCACTGATGTGTTCACCCAACCAGTGCCAATAATACCCACAGTGCATTATACTATGGGCGGGATACCAATTAATTGGAAAGCAGAGGTTAAATCAATTTACACTTGAGTTTCTTTTTCTTTATTTATTAGAGGGTTTATACTTAATTTGCCATTTCCATGGGAACATAGCACCGCTAAAACACACTACATACAAGTCAATACATAAATACTGATATTAACTACATTTTACACACTTAGGTTCGTATTCCAGAACTCTACTCAATGCTCAAGTCCGGATTTGAGCAGACTTCAGTATGATTTCAAGCACTGGAAATACGACCTTGACCTTGGTTCTTGAGTATAATTTCTAGTGCTTTGAATCATACTCAAGCCCTGATCCGAGCATTGAGTAGAGTTCTAGAATATGACACTTAGTATCAGCAAGTTGAATTTGATGCACAGCTGAAGCGTCTTAGCCTAGCTCCGGACACACTCCACGAGGGCGTGGTATACAACCTTCCTCTTGTTACAAATACGGCAGTTGGGAGACATTGTCTTACCCATCAGGTGGAAGAAACTGCTCATGTCTGCTGCTCCAAAGGTAGTCGGGGAGGCCAGGCTGTATTGACACCAGACACCCTTTGTAACATATCTCGCGACGATGTTTTCCTTGCAAAGTTTAGAATCTTTTTTATACAGGTGAAATAGATCCGACCGGCCTGCATGGCCAAAAGATCTACTTTTTCGTTAAACTTCAACCTATCATGGGATCCATTGCAAAAAACGACTAAAGTACCGGCACGCTATGATGGCCGTTTTGACGTTTGCCCGCTCATCAAGTTTCGTATTAATACATAACTACGTTGAAGGAGCTAATTGCTGAACATTGTTGTCAATAATGACGTGCAGTAAAATTTATAGAATGTATAATTTGACGACACAACTCGGCATTTGTTTTCGTCACTTATAAGATCGCTGTGCAGCACAACTTCTACCTCAGGCAAACTCGCGTCAAAACTTAATGCAGAACGAAGCAGTTTCGAATTGAACACATTTTTATTTTCGTTTTATTAAAACTTTTCAATCAGCTACCTCTTTTTAATACTTGTTATAAAAATGTATGTAATGTAAAAGCTTATAGATGCGACTCGCATTTGATTATATTGTTTCCGATAGTGAATTGAGATTTGACCTCACTATTGTAATCTGTCCAAACGGCTATCATAGCGTGCCGGTACTGTAATTTACTGGTGGAGTCTAATATACCGTGCCAACACTTGAGTTTTCGTTATTAATATCGTCACCATACCATCTCGGTCAGCCGTAACCATGGGGTCTACAAAGAGGCCGAAACTTTGGTTTGCGTGGAAAAAACAAATACACGCCACGTATATTATGAATAATATAAAGCGGTTTCATTTCCAATGTATATTTTAAGTTGGGAAGGTAGTTGATTTTATTTGAAAGCGGAGGTTAAGAGTCTGTACTACCTCTGCTCGAGTAAAATTAATTTATTTGATTACAAATGAAAAATGTATTTAGTTCAATTGACATTAAAAAATCATTGATATAGTGTAAAGTATATCTATTGAAGACAGAGCTTTTCTTGTAAAATTTCGAAATAAGTTTGTGTTTTTTTCTATCGTAAAAATTTTTAAAAATCGCGTTTCACACTGTTTAGTAATCGATATATATCCTCAATTTTACTATATTTTTTTCCAAAGCGATAGGTTTCAACACTTTCGCTGTTATGCATAATCAACCAGAGCCATTTGAGGGAGTATGGACTCTTATTAGTTACATTTGAATTTAAATTGCGCTTTTTTCACTGTAACGTTTGAAATACATCTAATGTGGACACGTTTGCTGACCCTTTGTCTGTATTTAAGGACTGGATAACTTCACATTTTAAATAATAATCAACAGTAGTAGTAATATAGAATATTGCATTGTATGTGTGTAGTAATTTATGGCTATATATATATTTAAAACTATACCACATCAATCAGCCGTCAATGAAAACGAAATATTGGTTTATTTAGAAAAAAAACATTCACGGTATGGATTATCCGGAAAAAATATTTATATGTTCAGGTGATAACATACACAAATAGCTCTGGAGACTGCCCAGTACCTGGTCTGCATGGCATCGGGGAGGCGACCAGCAACGCGCATGGCGCCAATAGACTGGGTGCCAACTCCATTCTTGACATCACGGTTTTCGGGAAATCCTGCGCAGTAAATATCGGCAAAATCTGTAAGCCTGGGCAGAAGCAAGTGACATTGAGAGATGTAAGTACTCGAACCACTACGGGACAATAATTTCACCTCCCCTTGACCGTATCAACTTGTTTTGTTCAGGTCGAATCTTATTGGATTTCTCTAATACCTACTGAGCGAGCGTCCGCAACGAAGCTCATGCGTACTACGTTACAGTTCTCCTATTTTCTCAATGTCTCTCGGCAATCATCGGATTCCCGAATGCACACGAGTATTAATTTCCATGCCCATGAAATTTAAGATTTGAAATCTAGAATAATTCGAATTTAGAACAACGTACTTTATTGTTGTTTTGCTTTGATTTCCTTGTGAATTATATAGGGCTGCAAAACTATTTCCCTATTTTTAATAACATCCACTCCATGCCAATAAGCAAGTTAACAATAATCTCAGTACAAAGTACTAGAAAACCGACCTCAAACGTACGTGGAATTATATATAATTACCAAGTTTTATTGAAATCGGTTACCGGAAAGTGCGCAAACCCGTATTCATCCCCTAGTTCGCCACTATACGGGACTTGACACAGGAGATAATAAAAATCGGTTCTCATTGCTCAAAGTATATTGAGAGAGAAAAACGCCTTGATTTGGAGAATAGCAAAATCAACCATTAAAATAATTGCTCCTTATAATAAAATTTTGGCGCTATTTATAAAAATGAATCTTTATGCGTGAACAGCCGCCCTTAGAGATGGATGATTTGTTTTTCAAAATTAAATGGTACCACTAAGGTAAGCTAACCTCATTCCAACAAAAAAAGAATCATGAATATCGGTTCACAAACACCGGAGTTATTGCGTAACATACATACAAAAAAACGTACAGTCGAATTGAGAACCTCCTCCTTTTTTTAAAGTCGGTTAAAACATAAACTAATAAAGTGTACTTCTTTATATATGTATAACTAAAAATTCATGTTTTTTCCGGTTATAATTTTAAAATATTCTTTACTGTTCTGATTGAAACACCACAAGCTACAGAAATAGGTTTTTGATCTTTTTGAAAATAACCAGCCATTCTTGAAGGTATCTTGTAAAAAATACTAGTACACGCTGTAAATTATCTGTCGTGCCTGTAACTTTAACGGCTTTCCTCCCTTAAACAAAAAATGTAATAGCATCTCTACATACTTTCAAGTCGACTGGAGCCGTCCAGTCTATATCAAAGGCAAAAGGTAACTGAACAAAACCCGACGACACCCGAAACACGAAGTTTGCCGAGTCATTGAGAAATTGGAAGCCCTGTATGTCAATTTCACGATGAAAGTAATGTCAAAATTCGTTCAAAATAGTCATTAGACTTGTGTCAAATCACGATCGTCGTACGCGTTTCGTGGTAGCCTCCGGTCAGATAGAAGCTTACATGAAAGCTTGCAAGCTTAGACCTCCTGGACTATCTTCCAGCACTATACATGTCATGGTCATAAGTATAATTAGATTTGTAGGAAGTTTATGGTAAAATGACAGCATCTTTAACTCGTGTATTATTTTGACAACCAACCGGTGTCTCTAGCATCGTCATTTGAGCAACGGTAATTGCTTGCTCGGCGTTATGTTGGAGGTCCATCTGTGTTCCTATTTGATTACCAAAGCATATTTTGTAAGCATGAATGGGCTTAACGTTAAATATGTTTTCGGTTTCTTTGAAAATACTCTGTGTATTTGCAAAATTATTTATTTCAGCTACCTGTTCCGACAAAAGAATATTAAACATTTTAACTTCCGTCTCCGTTTCAGAATATTGCCGAATTTACTATAGATAATTTTGAGACAATAAGGAGTAAGAACGGAAGTATCCCTATTCACGAATTGCGATTGAACATGAGGACCACAATGCAAAGTAAATGTGGAGTCTTCAGAGAGGCCAAGCTGCTCGATGAAGGTTCTAATGTTCTTTAGCTACAATCATGCTATCGATGTACTCTGCTACCTTTCCAGAGTATTTATTGTGTGCACTACTATACTCTGGTCGGGAAACTTCGCCATTACAGTGTGCCTGGCCGTGATCTATCTTAAATCGTATTTGAGTTGTAGGATACAGGGGGTCTATGTCAATGGTACGAGATCACATCGCTTGGGCGTCTCTCAAGGATTAATTCTATGTCAATTTTTATTTTTAGTTTATATAGATTACTTACCTAGACTAGTGGAAGGCATTGAACATGAGCTAGTATTGTTTACTGATGATACTTTCTTATTATTTAAGGTAGTAGAGTCGTTTGCAATTAATATTGCTCCATAATGAGAAAGACAAATTGTGTGAACGCATATTTACATTACACAATGTTAGACAGCCGGTCACAATCATTATATTATTATTATATCGTATTTTTCGAACTTAGATGCTAAATTTCAAAGGGAACCACAAATAAGTAAATTACCGAAACGGCTCAGGTCTGCAGTGTACGTCATTAGAAAAGTGTGGAAACTTTTAGACGTCGAAACTGCTAGATTGGTTTACTTCAGCTACTTCACAGTTTAATGACGTACAACGTTTTCCTTTGGCGTACTGCTGCCGTAATTAATAGAATCTTTGTCCTATACAAACCTGCAGTTATACTCCGGCCAACCATAAGTATATTTAACTTTTGACAACTCGAATTCTAATCAATTAGTGATGTCCTAATGCGTTTACGATTCGATATTTTAATAACAACCGATTTTATTTCTGATGAAGTCATTGACTTACAAATAAATGGACGACGGGTCTAATACAAAAACCACGAAGAAAATGTCCCAAGTCAACCTATTCGAAATTTAAATTGTTATGTCATCGCAGTATCGCGCTGTCCGTAGAACAAATGAAGACTAAAGCGGAGTGTCGCGCTCTGTATACGATTTTAGCGCCTTACAAGTGCGGACACTTTTTAGCGCGGACCCGACGTCCATATAATTGTAAGTCAATGGATGAAGTTTAAATCGTGAATGTGAGCGGTTTCAAAAAAGAAGATATTGCCTGATTGGGATCGTGATATTGCGTTTGACAATTTGTGTAACAATAAAAATGTATTGTAATCCTTTGTAATTTATTAAGTTGAATAATTTTTGTTACCTAATCTGTTGGCTCGACAAATATCGCAGCTAATGAGCGTCTTCACTAGAATTAAAAAATAAAAGAGTCCAGGAAGTATTGCATTTTTTGTCTGTGGTGTTGTATGTCAATAATTACGGAACTTCGAAGGCTTGTATATTTTATGTCAAAAGTTGGGCGGAGTACAGGGTAATACAATCTAGGCCCCAAAGTGTCTTTGAGAGTAAACTTAAAGAAATGAGCTTTCTTACACTAGCATCGCAGCACATTTGTGAAAATATAACTTATGTTTAGACGAATAGTATTTTTAATGAAAATATAGTAACAGATATAATATTAAAGCATCGAGTATATAACAAGAAACAGACGAAATGTCATTTAATTTGTTTGAAAACTATTCTGTCAAATCATTACTGTGACAACTGCACTCCGATTGGCTAGCCCGAGTTCGAAACAATTGATGTGTGTCGTCAATTGTTTCACTTCAAATCGACCAGTTAACTTGAGCTTTGCTATAATGGACGAAAATTGCAAAATTACATATTTAATATTTAATTACCGATGAAATGCAATTCCGTTTGTTTTGTAATTAGATGTTTTGCTGTTTTTCCCACACCACCGAATAGAACAGCACGGCATTGTTAGAGATATTATCTTTATTACAATAAATACAGAATATTTTTTGGAATATACGGAGACGTACATGCAGGTCAGTAGTTGGCCTGTCTATATTTCAGTGCAAACGGGAGTTGAAATTTATAAGAGCTGTAACGCTAATGGGTTACCAGGAATATATGGCCCTTATTTCGTCTCTATTTCTGGTTATATACTCGATGCATAAAAACGACAAACCACCTCACAAAGTCACACATTCGTTTAAGGGACAATATAACGGTTCTATAATAAGGTTTCGGTTGATATTCATTCAAAATTTGTTATTTGTGAAGTATAAAACTATCGTGAAACAAATACTTGTACAGCTTCTGCGTTTTGACAAATGTATTCAAATGTATATTTACAAACTCAGCTTACAAAACAATAGGCAGATGGAGCTTTAGCAAGAAATGATGTGAAGTCGCTTTTGAATTACTGTGTGCGTGACAACTAGGAAAGGCACTATAGAGTCGTGCACATTTGTGTGCGTGTAAGATTGCCAGATGCAGCGAAAAAACTCCCGCGATTTTCTGTTGTTTTCTATAATACTAATGTTACAAACTGGAAATGTTATTTTGCAATGTGATGTTAGGATATCAAGCAACTTATACTTTTTTTTTATAAAATATAAGTGCACATTTGACCTCCATCTCACCTCATGGAAAGTGACGATGAGGTCGACGATGGAACATGCACACCTAAATAATGCCTATTCACTCTCGCCTTGAAAAGGCCCAAGTTATAACGTTCAGGGAACAGTCTGCAGGCAGGGAATTCCACTCCGTAGCCTTTCGCCATATAAATGTGGAAGCATAACGCTTTGTGCGAATCTTTGGAATATCCACAACATAGGGGTGGAACCCAAGCCTACGCCTAGTCCCCCGGAGATGGAAAGGGGAAGGCGGAATTAAATCGTGTAATTCCATCGCAAGTGTGCTCATGGAGAGTGCTCCGTGATATAATCCTGTAAATTAAAAATACTATGCAATATAGGTTAATATTTAATTGTTGTTATTTGATTTACATCACACAAAGGAAAAAAATATTTTATTAAGATATTTTAAAATTGAAAAACTTAGATATTCACACAGATATCATCACAGTTACAGAATATCTTAATAACCTTTATTTTGAACACATTTTTTTATAATACTACCGTTTCGCATCTACATTCTAATTTTGCTGTTAGTGCAATTGCACCATCAAATATTTTTCTATTATTTTGTTTATTTAATTAACTTTATAATCAATTCCATTGCATTGAAGATCATCTTCTAATTTGACAAAAATTGTTTGGTTCCCAAGGAAAATCATTTTTTTTTATTGACAAGTTTTCTTAAAAAATCACTCTGTTTATGACTGTATCTATAGCTTAGAGGATGGAAAAAAATAAAAGAAAGGAGCTGCCCTAAGTACAGAATCAACGTGCATATTACCAAAATTTGAAAGTTACAAATGGCGGATTTCTTTAGTGTTGTACCATAATCTATCGATAAGTCATTATCGACATGCAAATGTATGGCTTGAATTTTTGTTTCTTTAGTTTACTGTAACCAAAGTATGCCTAAACAAACACAAGTCTGATAATTTAATCTCGAGTGGTATATTATTATAAATGTCAACACACATTTTGAAACTTCAAAAAAAATTTATTTTCAACATTACAACTGGTAACTTATTTAGTAAAAGTCACCAAACTGCTGTGCAGTTTGTTGGCGACATGCGCATTCTTGCTTAATTATACCTACTTTACTTGTATTTAACATTATTTATATTAATTGTACTTACTAAATAAAATATAAAAATTACTTTAAGAGGTACGCCTTTAACCTACATTTTAGTACATATTTACATAACGTAAACCAATAAACCTAAATAAATAAACCTAATACCAATAAACCTAATGATGGAATAGCATTGTCATGTAATCTAGTTACATTTAAAGTTCTGTTAAAATTTGACTCTTCAAAATGAAGCGAACAAATGAAGATGGTCTTTGATCCAACGTTTATATTCGGCAGTCCTATGATTTCCAACCATTCTTTCTTCCTTTTTTCATTTGTAGGAAAACTTGAAATAATAATAATAAAACAATAAAAACCTCATAGTGAATTGTTTTAATAACAGAATATCGATAATATGTATGCTTACAAGATCAACACTATCTCAAAATAATCGTTAACAACAATCATCAAAATATACAAACAAACAGGCAATCTAAAGTAACAAAAGCAAAATTTGGCAAGATTTATAAATAAACTACTTAAATAAGTCTAATTACATAAAATATTCGGGCTATTGTGTGATTTATAGACAAAAAAATAACACATGCCTGTGCAATGTAACATTCGATTGATTTGCAGTTTTTCTAAAGCCGCATCCTTTAATGCTGCAGCGTCGCATTTTTATTAATACCTAATTATTCTCACTGTCAATATTTTTGTCCAATTTAATTATAATACATGTGAATAATTCAATAATACATTTGGAAAAACATTTGTTTTGACATTTGATGTACTTCCCTTTGACAACGGTATCATGTACCTCATGTACTTGAAATGGCCACGGTTGGCATTTAAAATGACGTTACGAATTTTCGATTCCCGTGTTTGACACAGACCAATGTAATGCTATCTCTTTTGGCTTAAGACGGCACGTAATAGTTAAACAAAGACAATAATATGTTTATGTTTTCGACGACGAAATGCATCATATACATATAACGTCTGATTTATATATGTCAACGTAACATGTCCTTTAGTTTCCATAGTCTAAGATCTATAGCGCTAAAATTTTAGCTGTCTTTGAAAATTTTCTTTTGTGTACATTTTGGCTATTAGACATTGGTTTGAGAATAATTGAGGTAAATCTGGGTTACATAAAAAACAATTGTGGACCGCTGTAATTGGACCATTCTGTGTGTACATGCATGCATTATTTAATTTCTATACAAAAGTATAAATTATTCGATGCTCCTATCACCCATGCATATTTACCTAATTTAAGGAAACTCATTTTGATATAAACTGGCAACACTACGAATTTATGTCGAGGTTTTTATGTTCCGAGTGAATTTCAAAAAATATCGGGTAAATAAATTACAAAACAGTTAAATTAACAATAGTTCCCTGTGAAAAGATATTCCATTTTTTTTTTTGGGAACAAGTTTACAATGCTTAAAGACACAAGACGGCATTTTTAAACATAAAATAACGAATCACTCGTGACGTGTAAACAGCGAGACGCTGTGCTTAGTACTGACGTGAACTTGTATTCGCTTTTTAATTTGTATTTGCTTTGGTGGCTTCAGTTTTCTGTTCGGCGCGCTCCATCTGCCTATTGTTTTTGTAAAACCCCTAGAGTTTCTTGCTCATTCTTCTCAGGGGAATCTGCCTTACGAATGAGTCAAGTGTAATTTGCTTAACTATGAAATAAAAATTACTTCACTTTAACTTCAATGTAAATGTTACAGCTGACGCCGAAATCCAAAAATGGTATAGTATGTTCAAAGACATCAAGTTGACTGATAAGCGCAGGAATTGGAATAGTGACCTCATGGAGGCCCTGGAGCTGCAGAACATGATCCAATGTGCTGTGCAAGTGGTAGCTTGCGCTAGGAATAGAGTGGAAAGCCGAGGTGCGCACTTTAGGGACGACTTCCCGCATAGATTAGACGAAATGGACTACAGTAAATCTACCGAAGGTCAAGTAAGTGCCATGCAATTTATTACCAGTATATAATAGTAGTCTAGTTAACCTGGTCCCAGTTCCGATTCTGTTTATGGCTTATGTATAGTTTGACTTTTTTGAAGATGGAGTAAAATGACAGTTTATCGCGCGAAAGTGTTGCCCGCATGCAAGTAGATAAATATATTCTCTCGATTATCGACTGAATGTTGGTCACTTTATGCAATAAATATCTGAATTTGTTTCATTTGAACAATCATCGGTCTATTATTCCTCCAACTGCTGAGCACAGGTTCACTTAAATTGCCCATTTATGTAAGTTCATACATATATGCATTAAGAACTATGTCTATTAAAAATGCAAAGGGGAAACGTATTTTAAAGTTTTTTATTTTAATTCAATACAGTTAATCAATCCACCTATTTTTGTGAAAAAGTATATGAATCAAAATTGATTTCGATACTAGTATGCCAACTGTAAAAGTAAGTAAGTATTTCACAATCTATCGATAAAACTGTCGACAAGAACTACAGGACTATTAAAAATTTTATGGAAACTGGCAACACTCCATATACATCACAATGATCATTATCTTTTTGAACCCGCTCACCTTTACGATTAAAACTCCTTCATAAACTAAATCGATTGTTATAAAAAATCAAATCGGAAACTCATTGGGGCATCACTAATTGATTAGTATTCGAGCTGTTAAAAGAAAATAAATACCCTTTCAGCAGTGCAACGAAAAAGAAGAAGAATCAACGGAGGCTTAGGTTATAGTATAATAATAAGAAAGTAATATAACTCCGTACAAACTTAACAGCGCTTTTGTGTGTGTGCGCACTGTAAAATTTAAGCGATCGCTTGGTGTTTAAAAAATTAAATCAAATAGTACAGGTGTACCAGAACCTCATAGCATTCAATATTAGAAAAATCGAACGACTTTCACCTGGCAATGTAAACTTGTCACATGTCAATTCAAAATATTATACATTATATGTATATATTATTTGTGTCCTATGGGTGTCTGCTAAACTTTTGTCACTTGAAAATAACGATTTTGTAGCAATAATTACAGAGAATCCGCTTCAGTCTCAAGCAAAAACAAACTTGGTCACAAATTTCGATGTTCAAAATCTTTTTTAGAAGACAATCGGGAAACTCCACACCATACCCACCTTGCAATCCTGGTGGATTCTCACTACCAAGGATGCACATTAGGATTCCATTTTTATGAAGATCGTTTCAAGTGCATACGATCTAACGATTTTTTGTACCGATTTATTTCAATGCAATTTCCAAGCGAATAGATTTAATGGAAAGGCAAATCGAATCATCTAGATCAGAAAGCAATAATTAATCATTCGATTTGAACAAAACTCGACTTACAACAAATAACCAATAATAAAGATTTTGGGCGTTAATGGGTTTTCCCCATTATTGTGTCCAATCAAAGAATTTTGTAAAGACCGCCAAATTAGAAACTGTAGGAGCTCTGTGGAGCAAATACGATGGTTGAGGGATAGGGTGTGTTAATCTAAGGGAGATAGTCTTTCCACGGCTGTGTATACAATCGTGCGGTTTGGCATTATGATGATGAACTACTAAATAATGCTAGTGAAACTGTACAAAAATATCACATGATAAAAGTGTCTTCGCCTCATTGACATACAATTATATGGACGTCGGGTCCGCGCTAAAAAGTGTCCGCACTTGTAAGGCGCTAAAATCGTATACAGAGCGCCAAACTCCGCTTTAGTCTTCATTTGTTCTACTGACAGCACGATACTGCGATGACATTACAATTTAAATTTCGAATAGGTTGACTTGGGACATTATTTTCGTGGTTTTTGTATTAGACCCGTCGTCCATTTATTTGTAAGTCAATGCTTCGCCTTTACAGATAATAAGAAACCTATTCGCAAAACGACTTACTCCTAAAAAAATTTCTGCACTCTTAGTTTATTTATTAGATTAATAAACAAAGTAAACTAGTAAGTAAAATGCAAATTACTTCTTCGACTTGTATTTGCCTAGATATACTTTACTAGGCCAGGCATTGACTTACAATTATATGGACGTCGGGTCCGCGCTAAAAAGTGTCCGAACTTGTAGGGCGTTAACATCGTATACAGAGCGTCATTCACGTTTTAGTCTTCGTTTGTTCGACTGACAGCGAAGCAAGCAAAATTAGACAGTACTGCGGTGACATTACAATTTAAATTCAACGTTTTAGCTTTTTCATATTCCTTTACATGTCACTACGTATAAATAGGTTGACTTGGGACATTTTTTTCGTGGTTTTTGTGTTAGACCCGTCGTCCATTTATTTGTAAGTCAATGAGGACAGGACTTAACATAAATGAAAAAAGGTGAACTACACCTTTACCAGTTCTGGGCGTTTTTATGAATATAAACTTAAACTTTCCCGGCGATTCTTAAAAGAAAAAAGGTCTTATTGTTTAAAATTAAGTAATGGCGAAAACAGCACGAACTTTGTGGCCAATCCATTGATAAAATGTAAGTGGCAGTTTGCTTAATAACATTTTATTAATATCTGACATTGTCATTCTTAGACGCCAAAACCAATTGATCAGCATTGGAGGAAACACAGCCTGAGTGTGGTGGACTTGAGCACCGGAAAAGTCACCATCACCTTTCGGCCCGTCGTGGACAAACCCCGCACCGATGAAGTCAAGACCGTACCCCCGAGACCTCGCGTTTATTAATTTATTTTATCTTTTATTTAAATTGTACAGTCCTTATCGGAACCCCAAATATCTACACACTCGACTTGTGTCTACTCTTTACTGGGAGAATATTCGAAATATCTAAAATCAACCTTATATTAAATAAATCTTGAATGAACTTGTTTTATTTTCGCGAAAACAATTGAGCCCAGGGACAGAATGATCAAAGTCACTCGAGGACAATTTTAGTTAAAAAGTTTTTTTTTAAATGGAGAACTTTTGAATGTTGGTGAAAAATATTTATAATCCATTACGTTTATTGTTAAATCATTTGTAACTCTTCCACCATTAGTAGCAAGCATTTTTATGACTAAAAGTAAAATTTTTAAGGGCGTTGAACCTTATTAACTTTCTCAGATTTAGGCACAGTACGTTCAGCGTTTACCGAAATGGACGGTGGACTCAAAACGTGTTTTAATTAACTTTGATCATTCTTTCCCTAGATTCTTCAATTATAAAGTTGAACTATAATGCGACGAGTTTTCAAATGAAGAACGACCAAAATGGGGAACGAATAGGTAGTAAATAATGCGTATAGTTTGATTTAGATATCTCGTTTGGTCCAGCCATCCTGACGGACAAAATCGTCACGTAATGCCGAACAAACGAAAAACGACTCTAAACTTACTACGAGTAAGATGACTTAACAGGTAAGGTGACATTTGTTAAATACGGAATCGACGTAAGAATTTCTACAATAAGAGCGAAAAAGTACACGTGGCTGACCCATGCTCGACCTAGGTCGCGTCTTGTTGTTGTTGTGTCTCTTAGTGAAAGTCCGAATGGCGGGTATACCTTAACGGGTCCTGACAAATTTAGTATCAAAAATGTATCTAAATTGTACTATAAAAGAAAGACTTACCCCGTCCCATTAAAATTAAATATCATCAACCCTTCATGATTTTAACTGCCCCTGTGGCCGAACGGTTACCATGCCGGACTGCCACGCAGAGGTCCCAGGTGCGATTCCCGGGCCGGGAGAAATATTTGTATGACCTACATTTGTTTCTCTCGTGAGTTTGGGTGTGATTTGTGGTTGTCTATATGTGTGTCCATGGCACCCGCGACACAGGGTTTCCCTAGTGCGGGGCTATGTTGAGTGTGTGTGTTATTATTATTATTATTATGATATAAAGTACCTATATGAGAACAGGCGTTTGTGACCTTTTCCATCAATACAACGGAAAATACTGTATATGAACAGGCTGTATGGTGGAACATTTGCGTACCCAAATAAATGGTGGAAAAATTATAAAAAATATTTCGCTATAACTTCGTTCTGATAGAGGCACATTTTTTTTGAAAGAAAAGTTCCTAAATGGTACAAATTAGGTACATTTTTTACAACAAAGGGTTTTTCAAAGACGAGCACAGCCCCTGTTATTTGTTGCTGTTCAATTTGTCTTTTCAATACATTGACTTACAATTACATGGACGTCGGGTCCGCGCTAAAAAGTGTCCGGTCGGGTCCGCGCTAAAAAGTGTCCGAACTTATAGGGCGTTAAAATCGTATATAGAGCGTCATTCACGCTTTAGTCTTCGTTTGTTCGACTGACAGCGAAGCAAGCAAAATTAGACAGTACTTCGATGACATTACAATTTAAATTCAACGTTTTAGCTTTTTCATATTCCTTTACATGTCACTACGTTTAAATACACACATCAAAAGTGTCTAGGGATCAAATGAATATTTTTGAAATAAAAATTATTTAAGCAATATTTACCAAATCCAGTCTTCCAGGACGACTTCTTACTGTAATGCTTATGTTTTATTTAACCGCTTACCCCTATATTTAATTAAAATAAACTAAAATTGATGTTTTTGCAAATTGTGGGAAAAAACTCAAATTAACGGCGTCAATTAAATGACAAAAAAATGGCGAAAATGATGATTTTGCTCATTTTTATTGTAAAGATAAAAAAATTAATAATCTGTATTTCCACCATTAACACGAATCACTCAATTACAGCGATTTGGCATGCTTAAGATGAGTTCATCAAAATCACTTTGAGGAATGGCCGCCCATGTGTTTTGTAACAAGTTAAAATATTGTTGTAGAGTATGTACGGTATGCATACTCGGCACAGCTCTTCTTTGAAGCATATCCCATGCGTGCTCAATTGGATTGAGGTCTGGCGATTGAGCAGGCCACGGCAGAACGTTGATACGAACTTCGGCAAGAATGCGTGTTACGACTCTAGCCGTGTGTGGACGTGCGTTGTCATGCATTAGTTGAAATGAATCACCCAACTGGCCTCACAAAGGGATGATAACATCTGAAACAATCCTCTCTGCGTAAACTTGAGCATTGAGGTTACCCCTGATCCAAATGAGATCGGTTCTTCCGCCGATCCAAATACCGGCCCATATCATTATTGTTCCCCCACCATATGGATGAACTTCCTGACAATATCTCAAACGTTCATGACGTCCAGATGTTCTCCAAACTCGAGTACGTCTTGTATCCGGTCTCATACCGAAGCGGGATTCATCCGAAAAGCACACATAGCGCCAGTCTTCTTCCTCCCAGTTTCTGTGTTCGCGAGCCCATCGTAAACGGGTCCTGCGATTGCAGGGTACAATAGGTGGAACTCTGAGTGGCCTTCGGGATCGCAGACCCACTTCACGTAAACGATTTCGGATTGTTTGATCGCTTATTAGCAAGCCTGAGGAGCTGTGGAGCCTCGTAACCAACATCATGGCGGTCATGGTACGATTCCGTCGAGCAGTATTTTGGATATACCGGTCCTGTCTGCGAGTCGTGATGCGAGATCGTCCTCCATGTCGCTCGGCCACGCTGCCCGTCATGCGATAGCGCGTCCAGAGGCGACTTATGACGCTCTGTGTAGTGTTAAGAGTGAAAGCCACAGCACGTTGCCTGGAACCAGCTTCCAACATTCCGACGGCTCGCATCTTCACTTCTCGGGTTAAATGATGTCGTCTCTCCATAATAATGTAAATTGTTTCGGTTCCGATGCAGATATTGTAATGATTTTGTCAAAATGCTATAACTCATTTTTATACAAAACCACATTGACAATCGATTTTCTTCTTATTATCGAATTTTAAACAATATTCCTTATTTAAATGTTAAAACTCACTAAAAAGTATCAATAGCGATACAAAAAAGTTAATATAATTAACCCTAATTGCAGCAATACTCTTAAACGTACTTGATCCCTAGACACTTTTGATGTGTGTAGGTTGACTTGGGACATTTTTTTCGTGGTTTTTGTATTAGACCCGTCCTCCATTTATTTGTAAGTTAATGTTTCAATATGTAATATTTAAAAAATAATTTAAATATTAGAATTTTAATTCCCCTTTCCCTTTTATTTGCAATTGTACTTCTGCTGAAACGCAATATGCCAAACGGGCAGAATGCCTGAGTAGCAGACCGCCAGATTTTCAAAATGCCATATGTTCCCTCCCCCTGACGCAAGAACTAATGTCCAGTAGTGGTCGTCTTCTGCCGCCTGGGGCCAACCTTAAATTTGTAACCCCTTTTATTTTCAGCATTACGAAAGTACGTAAGTATAATTCATTCGGGCAGGCTTAGCTCGATTATGTTCGCCTGCCGTCGCTTTGTGTTGTTCAGGATATCACTGTTTCAAATAGTTGAATTTATTTTATAATTTTAAGTTCAAAAATAATAATTTCGATTATTTAGGACTTGCCGCCGCCCACGTTACGTGCCACCAGGCGCCATGGCCCCCTCTGGACCCCCACGCTACACCACTAGTTCTCATGTTTTATATATTTATTAAAATCGAAATGTAGTTCTCCCTAACTACTAAATATCTGATCATTCTTTGTCACTAGACATTGAAAGATTCACGTGCTCTTAATTCTTGTACATAGGGGAAAGGGGGGCGGCATAACGGGGACGTTAAAGGAAAACTTCAATGAAGGTATAAAAAAATGTACGTTTTAATATTAAAAACTAATCACAACTCTTTGACATTATATTAAAGCATAATTTGCCATATCCTTCGGTTAAGAAATTAATCAACTAGCAGAATTTTTTAAATTATACTGGAACCCTAAGATAACCCCATTATGCCCCAGTGTAGGGGCAATACGGGGTACTAAAATCGCGGCAGTATGGGGTTTTTTCAAACGAATTATCATACCTATTTTTGCCACCAAGCAGTAATGTGAGCATTACTGCGTTTCGGTATTGAAGCGTGCTGGTGAAATTACAGTTACATTGTCAACTTTGTCCAAAAAGGCGAGTGGTGGCCATTAACCTGTGAGTGGCACTGAACGCACAAGTTACAGCCTTTGGATATTGGTTTTATGAAGCCTTTGAGCGCCTATTATGATCAAGTTGATACTAACTGGTTAAGGCACAACGGGGCCACTCACATAGTTATTCATGTTGCTACTTTTGTTTTTATTATTTTGTAATTATGTTCCTATAGGGCTACGGGGCACGATGGGGTACCCATAATGCCCCGTAGCCCAGTCCCCGTTATGCCCCCACGCCAGTATTGTTTTAATTTAGTAATACTAAAATCAAATCGTAATAAACGTTAATTTTAGTCAGTATATAAGAAATAGCATAACTACAAAACAACAAAACAAAAACAAAAGTATCAACATGAGTACTTCCTTTTTATATGTTTATTTGTGGTAACACAAAATAAGATGATACGTGACCAAAAATGGTTTTTTCTGTAAAAATGAACGCGTGCCTTCCAGTCAATTTCGCGCTGGCCGCCGTTTCAAGATGGTCGCTTATTCGCAAAGCAGTACACTACTAGCATATTTAGCTACATAGATCTGTGAGTGGCCCCGTTGTGCCTCGCGACCCCGTTATGCCCCCGTTCCCCTATAGCTCCTTTTGTGCTGGCCGAGTACCGCAAATTTTTGAGTTTCCGATGAGCAATTTTTTTGAACTCTCTCAATACGTTACGGTACTTTGGCGGTAATTTCAGTGGTTGCTGGGACGTAACGGGCATAAGGGCGCCTTCAAATTAGACAGTATTTTCGTGCAAGATTTAGAAGCGCAGCTGCAGCGCCACAGTCGCGCGGCGCGCGCTTTACCTTTACTTCAGACTAGATATTGTTTAGTGCCGCAGCTATCGTGCACACGAAAAAAAAAATCATCGAAATGCCTCATGACTTGATTGCTATCAGAACCGCTGTCGCCAAATCTCAACATTCATAATTTCGTAATTTGAAGCCCTAAAGCCAAAAGTCGTTCGTTTGAGATCTCTATGATTTTGTATAATTAATTCCAGTTTGATTCCGTTTTATCAAATAGACTGTATTTAAAAGTAAAAAGTTCAAAAGATACATAGTAATAGAAAGAAAAGTGATATAATAATAAAGTCTGTATTTATAACTGGTTTCATACGACGTAAAGATCCGCTAGATTTGACGATATTTGACCCAGTTTTCCTAACGTTTATAACGTTTCGTGTAACATTCCGGGGCTCAAATGTACTCTGCCACAGTTCGTATTGCTGATAGTGGAAAAAAATGCGACAAGCGACGTGTAGTGTAATGTTACAAGACTGTTGTAAGGTGTTGATAAAGTAGGGCACATTGTATCGTTTGACATCGCGAGCTGTGTCCGATGATAGGAGTACTTTGTCATTTGAAGTGATATTCGCGGTTGTCGACACCAGCCTGACGATCGTGTCGTTGGAAAACAGGTACACATCAGAGCCCCTGATGTCGTTGCTGATGGTGAAGTCACCCCACACAGTCAGCTTTGCGTCCGCATATTCAGGCGCCTCGACTAACCTCAGCAGATTGTTAACGTTGATAAACACTCTGTCGTTCATTGTGAATAGACGCGGCGAATTTAAACAATATGTATGCGTCCAATCGATCATCGATGCCATCTTGAAGAGCGGGGACAATTGGTCTGAATTTCCAATGATCAGGTCGCCGTAGCGTGCATCCTCGACAGCCAGTACACTCAGCATATGAGAGGCTGGCGCACCCAGTACGAAGGCCACCGCCACATGGGAGCTGCGCGCGTAGTGGCCCCATGAGTACCGGATGGCATCGCGTTGTGCTGCATTTTTGACGGACGACGCCACCAGGATAAGCAACCGCAGGTGCAGCCCAACTTGCTTGCATAGATTCTTGTGCGGCAGCGAGTAACCGCGTTTGTAAGACACTGTCGTATTGGTGTCGGCCAGCGTAATGAACACCATTAGCAACATCCAGGACCGCCGTCTCCAACACATGTCGCGGGTGATTGCTGTGCTGTGTAGGGATGGAGAGTAAGACAAGGTATTTAGAATTTTATAATAGACCTCAGGCTTAGTTCGTGCTTAGGATTGCATACTGAATCGATTCTATTGCACGGATCTGGCATCAGGGACACTGGCTTTATTACAGAATTTATTTTTTCACAAACGAAAGTAAAGCTATTTGAAAAATTTATATGTTATATAGCTATAGGTACTATACGTAATTAATAGATTCAGGCGTTATAATAGCAACACTGGGGGTAAGAAACGAGCTCACTCTTCGGCCGAATGTCCAGCAGTCAACAGCCTCTGAGGATGCCTCGTGGAGAGGCTAGACACGAGTCGGGTATATATTTGGTGGTGGTTTGTGACTATAGTTGCATTTATTTCATTAATTTTTAACTGCATGAAAAAATGTTCAACACAAGCGCAGTTATTTTGCTCGATTTAACCTTCACTGGATTCGCGGAGTAGAAAATTAACTTACTTTCATTTTTTTTGTAATCTATACGTATTTATTCTATTTAGTTCGGTTGACATAAAAAATACCTATTGAACACAGCGGTTTTTTTTTTAAATTTCGATGTAAATTTGTGTTTTTTTTTCTGTTGTGAAAATTATAGGATTCGTGTTTTCACAATTTTACAATATATTTTTTTCCAAAGTTCAACACTCTCCGTTTTGCGGAATCAACCAAAGCCGTTTGAGGTTATACCAAAGATTATCGAAGATGTACCCCGTGTGCTAATATGCTTATGATACTCTCCAAAACCATTTTGCCATCTTAAATTTAGATCCGTCGAATAAGAAACACCTAAATATTCAAATTATCGTATTTATACACTACTAAGTAACTCAGAATTAAGGCTCCCGTTACACGGACGAGCTGCACCGCGAATGATTTTATGTAAAAACTGTAACTTCTAACCACGTTCAAACGTTATCTTTTCCCTAACGTAGTGCACAGGCATACACGTACAAACAAAGAAACTTCCCTGGAACGGATCACACGCAAGCAAAAACGCCGAGGTGAACCAGTTAATTATTTATGCGTAGTTAATTATTTAGCGTATGTTTTCTGGTATAACAAACAAGCATATACATGCAAACAAACAATTTTACCGTGGTGCTATGCTAGCTATGGTGACGGTTTTAGGAGCTTTAGAGCACCTTGTGACAGAGTTCGTCCAGGGATGTACTGCCACCTTACGCCGCCAAGCAGTAATATGAGCATTACTGCGTTCCGGTTTCGAAGGGTAAGGCTGCTGGTGAAATTACAGGCAAATGGGACTTATCAACTCATGTCTTAGGGTGTCGGGCGCAAAGGCAGTGCCCCTCAGATTTTTGTAATTTAAAGCTCTTAGTGGCACTGCAACTACTAGCGCGACTACACAAATCTCGGACCCACTTCGGATGTTGCACTAAGCCCGATTCGAATTTTTGAAAATACAAATATCGCTTATACACATAGAGATAAAATGATCCCTGTGACATTTCGGACCGTCATTCGGACTTACGGCTCAAAACTAGAATCGACGGGTACGCACTTGTTTGGTGGTTGAATCAAAATGCGCTGCAGCGTGGTGGGGGGAGTTGCATGCCCGGAATTATAAAAAAGGAGGGTTAGACTAAATTACTTACTAAAGTACTAAAACTTAGCTGTTCAGACACGTTGAGTTACTACATTACTCGCTACTCGATTGAATTACTAAGACGAAGTCCGAATTATGCTTCAGGGACAGGTGTGTCGCTTACCACCAGGCGCACGAGATGTTCGTCACGTTACATAACAGTTACACTGCCACTCAGAGATTTAAATTGCAAAGATCTGAAGGGTACTACCACTGCGCCCATCACCCTGAGACATAAGTTGATAAGTCCCATGTGCCTGCCTGTAATGTCACCAGCACCCTTATCCTTCAAAACCGGAACACAGTAATGCTGACATTACTGCTTGCCTGTAGAAATAGAACGTGGCAGTACTACCCTGGGCGAACTCTTTCAAAATAAGCTATTCTGCTACTGGTACATAAACATAAACAAAAAAAAATCATTATACTTCTCATCGTCACGCCTGTCTCCTGGGGTAATTAGCCACTATGGACCTGATGGGACTGGAAGAGGCGAAGGAAGTTTGTCAGGAGCGTAGCAGATGGAGCGTCATAGTCTCTGACTACCCCGGAGTTACAAAATATATGACGATTTCAATTTGGCACTGCTTACCTGTGAAATAAAGTTGTTCTCAACTTTTAATTAGTGTGACAGGCTATAGAGGTTACATCGGCGTGTAGAATAAGTTTGGAACTTAGTGCCACTGCATTGTTTCAGATGTTTGCAATGGCACCAGGAGCCTTGCGGCACTGTCGTAGTTCCCTCAATCTGAGAGAAGTACGTTTCGCGCAAAATTCCAAATCAATTTCATTTGATGGTCGGCACAGTTCATTTACTTGTAATATTTGGAAAAATAGTCAATATATTAGATGTTCGGTTGTAAAAATATATTAATAACTTGTTATTATTATTCTCCTTATTAGCAGGTGGCAACTGCTAAGCATGGGTGTCTGTATAGATCTAAGTTTTAAAAATAAGGAAACCATAACTTGACATTTGAATCTTTTAGTTAGAAAAGGCCACGAAGGGTCTATGATTTTGATGTCAATTTTTATTTTTCTCACTTTTCTTTCGCGGTTAGCATTTTAGCCACTTACAAGGTTTTTTGACTCGGGGAAACTTTAAGTAATTAAGATAATATAATAACACTTAGAAAACATTCATTTTCTTTGAATGCGTCCAAAAATTGTCCTTTCTTTAAATTACCTTATTCAATTTATTTTTTTTCCATCCTCTAAGTTCAACACACTAATTTTGTTCTTATATTTTTTTGGCTCGGCAGTCGATGACATTGCTGTCTTTTGTTGTAAAATTTCTAAACTCTTTTTTCATTAATTGTGTAATTTTATTTTCAATATTTTTGTATTACAGTTAAATAAGATATTTACTTCTGATAAGCGGCTTTATGTTATTTTGTTTTACAGCGATTATGTACTGGTCATGGAGACCTCCTGTTACGAGTATTTTCATATTCAAAAGAAGGCCCTTGTACGTAATTTTTTTATATTTGAGACGGTTTTTTTTTCCATTATATCCATTGACTTACAATTATATGGACGTCGGGTCCGCGCTAAAAAGTGTCCGCACTTTTAAGGCGCTAAAATCGTATACAGAGCGCGACACTCCGCTTTAGTCTTCATTTGTTCTACTGACAGCGCGATACTGCGATGACATTACAATTTAAATTTCGAATAGGTTGACTTGGGACATTTTTTTCGTGGTTTTTGTATTAGACCCGTCGTCCATTTATTTGTAAGTCAATGATTATATCGAAAAGTTTTGAACAAAATAGTTCTTTTTTTAAATAACATACGAAATAAAACTAATCTGCAGATTGTTTGTAGGTCAATGAATCTGCATATTGTTTTTCACATGAAATCGAATTCTCTACCTGTGTTTATCACGCACAAAAAACCTTCACTTTTCTAAAACCACGTTTCTTGGATATCCCAGAGCTCTAACAAAACACATAAGTGCCCTGAAAGAAAGCTCATTCCAGAAAGTAAAAATGACTACGCTAAAACGCAAATAACCATTGGTAGAGTAGGACGATAGGTAATTAGGCATGCTCAATGATAGCCCGGTGGTGTTTAAGGGGCGTCACAGGGCGGAGTACATGGCCGGCGGTGTCGCGATAAGTGCCCTAAAAGCTCACCAATTTGATATTTTTTATGCCAGCGCGACGTTTTTATTGCGTTAGATTAGAGGGTGACATAACGCCTTGATTATAGATAATATTCGGTTATTTACTTAAAACCAAATCACTAGATGAGACCGAATCTTGTTTAAATTTCACCAGGCAGCTTTCGTGGGACTATAAAGTCTAAATATTATTGTCGCATGGGCCACATAATAAAGACAATTACGCGAGCGCTATTAATAGTGATTTTAAAGGATAGTTCTTTAAAATTCCCCATGGAAACGTATGCAGAGCGCATACTACAACAATGGATTATATTAAAAACAGAGCTCTACTTATTTTTTTTTAATGTTACGCTGTCAGAGAGATTAGTTCATTATTAGCTAAAGGTGTACAATTTACAAATGAGATTTTGTTTATGCACCGTCCATGAACCGCTTGCCTCGTAAAGCTGGGGATGAAATGTTACTCTGCTCGCTTTGGTGAAAGCCAGTTGATTTCGGCCGGGATGTCTCAGAACTACCCCGTGTCAGCCTCCCCGTTATAATCCTGCGCAGGCGGGCCGAGTCCCCGCCCGGAGGCGTGGCTAACACCTTCCGGCGCGCCCCCGCACCCCGCGTCTACGACGACCGGACGAGGCGCCTTTCCATTATCCCTGCTTCCTGTCCGCGAGCACTCGCCTGCTCCTCCATTATATCGATTTGTTTATTTTTTTTCCCGCGCAAACAAGACAAATAGTCTGAACGTGGTGGCGTCACCTTCTGAGTATCGTGTCGGTCCGGCTTTACCTGACGTATCCGGCCGGGACCCTCGCCGCCGACGGCCAACATGAACCCAGCCGGGGTCGGCTCCTCGAGAGCGAAGGCATCCGTCGAGTGAAGGTGAGTCTACTCTTTCTACTCTTATGCAATTTTTTTAAGTGAATTGCGAGCGAACCTAATCATATAGTGAGAAATGCAGGTCCCTTATTTGCTTTCTCGTCATTAATTTAAATTTCTTGTTAGGTATGCTACTTAATGCAAGATTGCCATTCCAGTCCCTCTACTTTGAGTGTGTCTAAATCCTTAACATTAAACTTAAAATTCTACTTAAGTAGACTTAAAATTGGATTACAATCCATTTATAAATTCTTTGAATGTCTTTTAGTGTTACGTATTCAATAAACGCAAAACTTTTCCTTTATATTTCAAGAACGGTGGTCATTTTGCGCAGCCTCCTTCTTTAACTACATTTTAATAATCACTATCACAATTCTAACTTCAAAACTTTAGCCCTAATTAGTAGAAAACTCGGAACTTTATATTGTTACAGTGCTTGTACGTTTTTTGCACCATACAATATTTTTGTTAACAAAACAACCTACTTACACCGCGTAAATGACCATCGGTAATTGTAATTGACAACCCGCTTACTTCAGCGATCGGCTACATACAAGCATTCAAGTCTATGTATATTGCACAATTTTTACTTAGTATATTAACTTATTACGGAAACAGTAATTACGTTAACTCATCCTGTGGCGTTCAGAAATCAAAACAGTGATTTCTGATACATAACCACTATACTTAATCTGATTAATAAATACTTATAGGTACCTCCTTTTTTAAATATATCAAGTGACGGGACGTACAAGTCGAGCGCCAGATGGTTAATCTACACGCCTATAACAGTTGCCAGTAACAGTTGACACGGCCAGTGTCCGTCATTCTGAGTCATAAGTTAACAAGTCGCATGCTCATATTACTGCTTGGCGGCGTAAGGTGGCAGTACTTCCCTGGACGAACTCCTTCACAAGCTTTACTGCTACAAAATTACTACACTATGATCACAGTCAAACATTTAAACTGTTATTTAAATTATAAGCCTCAGAACTTAGCCACGCCGACCGCTTCACTAGCCGCCATTAAATCTTTAAGCGTGCGGATGTTAGGGCACGATGCGAGGCCAAGTTGGAATTGCACAGCACAAACGCACCGAACCGTCCGAAATTTGTCCTTGCCTAGTCCGGAACCTATTCAAAGACTTCCAGACCTGCCGGAAAGATTTATATTCTTCTTCTTCAGTCTCTTGTTAATGTACAAGCACAAAACAAGCAATGGGTGAATCAATGTTCTAATTTTAATTACCTGTACAAATCCTAAAAAACAACAATCTTCTCTGTCGTCTTGTGATAATTTTGAACGCACTATCAAAAAATTCTTATACCATAGAATATATTGTGTAAATTATTTTAAAATCAAGTAAAAATAAGTCATTCGTGCGTGAAAGCTTTGTAGCAGTGAAAAAAAGCAGAGTTCGGAAGTCTATAACGAAATGCGATACGACGTGACTGCGTCCGCAAAAAGCTCATACGTACTACAAGCTGTTATTAGACGCTTCGGAGTAAGGACATGTCAAATCACGATCTTCGTACGCGTTTCGTGTTAGCCTCCGGTCCGATATGAAGCTAAAACGATGAGCGTTGCTTCGTATTTCATAGTGGACCTCCTGGTCAAAGCTTTCTTATTACACCAATCTAGGCAAGCAGTTCTGTACAAGTCATAATCAGTTAAACAATACAAAACGAAACCTCCGTGTGTCAATTCTCGTCAACCGACCTGCTATACGCAGCAAGCTGGCGTGAAACAAAGAGCGTAGCTGCAGAGATCCTTGTGAGAGAATTAATTAAGGGCAGCACTACTTTTTTTAAAATAAGCACATAAGCACGCTTTTTAATTCAAGCGTAAGCGTTGGTCAGATCAATATAACATTTTATACGGGCAGCCTGTGGACAAGTTACACTAAAAAGACGGTCAACCCCCTGCGTGTGCAATACAATAATGATTTTAGGACGCTGCGCTGTTGGGACTGCCTCGCTTTTGCAGTGCATCAGGTATGTTCGCGACGGCGCGTACTGATAACTTCAGTGCGATAATACGCAAAAGAACTGCGTGCGTGCGTGACAGTTCCAGCAGCCTCATGTCCGGGAGAATCAGATCTCTAATTAATTAAGTAATTTTTTTTTCTCTGACAATCTATTTTACTAAAATAATCTATAAGTTTTCTGTAACTAACATGGTATGGACAAAGTCTGGAATAAATTCTTTGATTTGATATCAATACTCAACAATTTCATTTTTTACAACGTGCGTATGTTTGTTACTCGTGTTTTACAAATAAACTTATTTAACTTAAAAGCTTTAGTGGTCTACTCTTGCATTTCGCTATCAACACAACGTTACAAGCTTTTTCTAACGTGAAAGTCTGTGCGCTTAAACACGTTTCTAAACGATTTTGTAAGCTTCAAACATTGACTTACAAATAAATGGACGACGGGTCTAATACAAAAACCACGAAAAAAATGTCACAAGTCAACCTATTTAAACGTAGCGACATGTAAAGGAATATGAAAAAGCTAAAACGTTGAATTTAAATTGTAATGTCATCGCAGTACTGTCTAATTTTGCTTGCTTCGCTGTCAGTCGAACAAACGAAGACTAGAGCCCTATAAGTTCGGACACTTTTTAGCGCGGACCGACGTCCATATAATTGTAAGTCAATGTTGAAATCATAATAATTGTAAAGAAAAATGTATGCATCAATTAATTAGTCCTTATATTTCATGAATTCGTCAACAGAGTAGAACAAATGATCAAAGAGCCACCAACGCAATTCCTGTTTGAAACTAGTCAATGGAAGAAGCTTAAAGCGATCTGGTATATGATTGAAAATTCTTCAGTCGCGCGCTTTTGTAACACGATTAAAAGTCGCAGCGTGTAATCGCTTTTAGTGATGTACCAGCCACTGTTAATTTAAATATTTGAAAGCATTAATTACTAAGCAGTGATTCTTAAACGAGACCTGCCTTCAGCCCGTCGGACATCCGTGCCTGTTCAAAATAAGTGCCATAACAGAAAGCAATATTTTCAGGCCAACGTATTTTCTTAAAGTGACCAAGCCACACATTACTGCAATGTGAGCATTATTGGGGAAATTAGTATGGAGTAGAGATGGGAAAAACTGCCTTTTTTTACGTTAAAACGTTCTTTTTAAACGCTCCTCAGTTAAACGCTTTATAATTTGAAGCCATTGACTTACAATTATATGGACGTCGGGTCCGCGCTGAAAAGTGTCCGAACTTATAGGGCGTTAAAATCGTATACAGAGCGTCATTCACGCTTTAGTCTTCGTTTGTTCGACTGATAGCGAAGCAAGCAAAATTAGACAGTACTGCGATGACATTACAATTTAAATTCAACGTTTTAGCTTTTTCATATTCCTTTACATGTCACTACGTTTAAATTGGTTGACTTGGGACATTTTTTTCGTGGTTTTTGTATTAGACCCGTCGTACATTTTTTGTAAGTCAAATGACATTTACTTTAAATTATGACTTACAATTAACTTTAATTTATCAATTTATTGTCTAATTATTGTTTTCACTTTTAGTCGTAATCTATCAGTGTATTATTTGATTATTGTATTTGCGTGCTTTTATTTGAAAAGGCCGAATAGGTTAAGTGCTGATTTAATTTTTAAACATCAACATGTGCAATGTACCGTACCCTATTTGAAGCGAATAAATGAATTATTATTGTTATTTATTATTATTATATATATGGAATATTTGTAATACAGATACGTGCGGGTAGGTCAATTTACAATCTGGGTCCCAGAGTGTCAATTACAGATAAGTACAAAGAGATTAGCATCAGTACATACAGGAAAATGTTATATAGGTAATGAAAAATAGTGACAGACGTAACGTTAATACGAGGAATAAAAATAAAGTAGCTGTTCTTTGTAGTCATCGTCACAAAGTCACAAATTCATTTAAAAAGAGAAAGGAGCTCGTCTGTTTGTGTGTGTTTTTAAAATATAGGTATAACATTGATTGACAACTATTGGGATTGTTTCCATGCACATCGATTCTTTTGTTAATAAATGTCACAAATAATATATTTTATTACAATACCAAAGAAAACAGAAAGCTTTTTCATGTAGATGGATTCAGCAAGGATGTACATTTTTGCGTTTTTTCTAACTACACCATGTAACGCTTACATCAACATCCACTAAATATATAATCGTGCACCAGCAACGACCGTGTTTTGTACCAATAAGGGATACGGATTATCGCCTTTCCTAATTTCACCCGGAAGATTATTATTGACCTTCGAAGCCAATGTAACTACTCTCATGAAAAAGAGCTATTTTGCCTGATAGATTTTGCCGTTGATCTGACAGCTTTCTCAGCAACTTTTTTTCAAAGAGATGGTCAAGTATGTTTTATTGCTTTCTTAAGAAATTACTGAACAATTGTTAATAGCAATTGAGAAATTATTATTAAAATTGTAGAATATCTTATAGTCTGTATTATCCTGTATTTAAGTATTATTAATTCTTAAAAGCTTGAAATATAAAAAAGAAATCAAACATTTGCTAAATTAATTTTATAAATTCGTTTTCTGCAGCACATCTTTACCATCGTGGCTGTATGCGTTTTTGCATTTTGCAACATTTTAGTTCAACTTGTATTATTTATGGAAGAATAGCTAAGAACGACAAAAAAAAGAAAAACAGAAATCCCTCCATTTGCAAAATCTGTAATTGTTGTGTTGTGAAGCGACATTTATCATTACATTACATTTTTCCTCGCAAATATGATGAAAAACGATGTATGTAGCACGGGCGGTAAAAAATTCCAAACCTCGTGTCTAATAGACTATCGTTAGTATTATTACAATGCCCTATTAATTGACAAAACTAGTGGGCCAGAATGGTATACCCTTAGAATAATAACGCATCGAAACCCCGCACACGCTAAGTGAGGCAAGTTGAAGCGCTCCCAAAGGGCCTACACGAGCGGGCGGGCCTTCAGTGCTCAAGGTCAATTTGCACC